GTTCTTGTGCACTCTGCTGGATGCCCTGTGTCTCCTAGCCATGGGCATCTAGACACGGACTCTATTTTGAGGGTGTGTGACCCTCAGAACCGAGGGCCCCTGGGTTCTGGATCACACAGCCTGGGTGCTCATATTTGTTTTCTTTTAGGAACCGGTGTGCTGTTAGCCCTTTGAACTATAGTAAAAACAAGCTCAAAAATCTTTGAGTCTCCTCTTCTGGGGGAGACTGCCATTTTAATCCTAAGTTCATACTTAGAGGACAGGAAAGCTCTGTTCCCATCTTTAATCTTCACCTACCTTGTAGAGAAGGGAAGGGTCCTCCCCAGAGCCGTGAAGACCAATGGTCAAATTGTCTGGATCCTCGTCAAGGTTTTAAGTTCTTGGTCTACCTTTAGGTGTTTCTGGATGGAATGTCCCCCCCCTCATTGTTTGTTTATTTGTTTGTCTTGTTTTTGATGCCAGGGATCAAATTCAAGGTCTTGTACATGCTCAGCAAGTATTCCTACCCCTGTCCAGCCATCTCTTCAGTATAAATGATATCCCCAAATAGGAACTGCCACAACCTTTCCAAGTGACTGCCTTACTAGGGCCTTCGAGCCCCGTGGCTCATGGTCACAGTGGTGATGGTGGCTTAGTCCCCAGGACTTGTACTCAGGCAGAGGAAGGGACAAGAGACTCATTGTTTGGCCTGGACAGGGGTCACCCATGCACCTTCCCCTGAGGCTGATGGGCAGTTGGTGGAGGCTGTGGCCCAGATGTTAGGGTCATCCTGGCTCTGTCCTGGGGTTTTGTGGCTTTCACAAGGGGCCACGAAGATACAAAGACTGTTGTGGGGTAGGTCCACCTTCAGCATCTTTGACAGCTGGTCCATGTCCTCAGGAAGTAGCCAACACTCACAGGCCCAGAGCAGCTGGTGGGGTGGATCTCAAAGCCATCTGGAAGTTTCCAGGCCTCAAGGAACACTTATATAACTGTTTGAAGAGGAAGTTTGGAGTTTGGAAGATGGTCAGTTTAGGGGCCAAGGGCAGACTGAGAATTCTGCTCCCTGGTCAGAGGGCTGGTCCAGCCTCACAAGTCTTTGCTGGATCTCAAAGGTCTGGAGCACGGAAGCAGAAACCGTGTGTCTTAAATGAGCGTGTGATCCATCTGTGGACTGACCAGGTTTAAGGCTTTTGGGACAAGAGTCATGTTGGCCTGGGTCATAAGCTTTCCAAGGAGGTGGCCTCTGCCATTTGAAAGACCATCACTTGTCAAGGTTTCCACTGTCCCCATGCAGAGAGGCTGCTCAGGGAGCAAGACTGGCAAGACCCACACCATCCTATGCAAGGTGCTGGGCTCTGTGTCTCTGTGCTGGTGTACTGCAGAGAGGCAGCATCTCTGCTCCTATGTCCCAGAAGCTGCTGGCTGCTGGCCTGTATTGATAACTGCCACATATGAGCGACCCTGGGCAACTTTACCAAGACTATCTTGGACACTGTCTTAGTCACTGTTCTGTTGCTGAGAAGAGACCCCAAGACCAAGGCAATTCTTTCAAAAGAAAGCATTTGACTGCAGGATGGCTTACCGGTTCGGAGAGTTAGTTCATTGTCATCACGGCAGGGAATGCAGTGAGAGCATGACGAGTGGACACGGTGCTGGAGAATTAGCTGAAAGCTACACCCCGATCCACAGGCGGAGACAGAGAAACCCTGGGCCTCAAAACGACCTCCGGTCATACACTTCAATAAGGTCATACGCCTTCAATAAGGCCACACCTCCTAGTCCTTCTAATCCTTTCAAAGAGTTCCATGGCCTAGTGACTAAACATTCAAATATATGCGCCTAGGAGGGACATTCTCATTCAAACCATCACACTGAGACCGGCAGTTACCTGACCTTTGCCCTCTGGAAAAGGACCATATCCACCGAGTCTCCCTACCAGGAACTCACAAGCCATCTTGTTAAAACCCAGAGTACCCATACTCCAGATATGGCTGCCACAGAGCAAGTTTCAAATTTTTTATTTACTTCTTTCTTTATTTATTTATCACAGGATCTTACAGTGTAGACCAGTCTGGTTTCAAATTCACAGAGATCCTCCTATCTCTACCTCCTAAGTTCTGGGATGAAAGGTGTATGGCCACCATGTCTGGCCACATAGGGGTTTTTGTTTCACAGATGGTTCTTATACTACAAAAACAACAAATGTGAACTGAAGTGATCTGTTTATATAAAAAGGCCACTGTTCTGTAGTCATGGCAAGATGTTTGTCTCAGGGAAGAGACAACAGAAGCTAAAGTCAGTGGGCGAGGGTTTTCTAGAGACCAGGAAGCCCAGCCTCAGGCTTTCTCTGTAGAAAATATCTATTTGTTTGTTTGTTTTGTTTTATTTTGTTTTGCTTTTTTGAGGTAGGGTCTCATATTCTGCAGGCTGGTCTCAGAAGTTCCAGGCCAGCCTGAGCTACACAGAAAGTTGGAGGCCAGCCTGGTCTACAAAGTGAGTTACTGTCAAAATAAGAACAAACACCCCCCACAAGAAACAGAGTCCCCCATCTGGAATTTCTTAACAAGTGAACAAAGTAGATACACACTGAGCCTCCGCTGTGACACACAGGAAGGACAGAGCGTCCTTCCATCATGCTCCTGCCCAGCATCCACACCCTGTGTCTTACAGAACACACTGGCAGTCTCAGCAGAGACACTTTACAGGCCGTCTGCCAGTATTCCGTACACATCAACGGCAGGACCAGAGAAGACAAGTACGCTCTTCCAGACTCAAGGATGCCTAAGACACGTGAGGCATGTGGGGCTCTCCGCAGAGACCTGCCATTCAGGCCACTACTGTGACAAACATTCTGTAGAAAGCTGTGAGGGAGAAGAGGAGTCACAGAGTGGACTCTGGCCCAGGCACAGGCTCTCCTGGCTGCCACCTGTCCTCTGCTGGGGATGGTGGCTTGTGTGCGATGCTTCTGCTCATTAGAACTTTCTTTCCGGGCTGGAGAGATGGCTCAGCGGTTAAGAGCACTGACTGCTCTTCCAGAGGTCCTGAGTTCAAATCCCAGCAACCACATGGTGGCTCACAACCATCCGTAATGAGATTGGATGCCCTCTTCTGGTGTGTCTGAAGACAGCTACAGTGTACTCATAAATAAAAATAAATAAATCTTTAAAAAAAAAAAAAAGAACTTTCTTTCCTGTGCTTGGTGAAGTCTCCCTGGGATACACACCCACCGGAAGCAGCCGCTCAGAGGAGAATGATGCTTCTCCCTGTGTGTGACAGCTGGTGTCACACTCAGCCATGTGCTCAGTGACATTTAAGCCAACCTCATTCACTCATAACCACATCAGACCGTTGGCAACAAGACACTATTGCTGCCTCTGACTGGCAAGGTAACATATGCGCTGCTACTTGCCCAGAGTCCCACAGTGGGCAAAGAAGAGTGTCAGGCCTGCAAAGTGGGACATATGGGTTTCAGCTGCTAACCAGCACCTCAGGCAAGTCTTTCCAAGTATGTAGAGGTGACCTTCAATGCCCTCAGCCCTCCTTCTCTGACCTCTGAGCCTTTGCTACAGCTTTAGAAACAGGTATGTGACCCATTTATAAGGGGACATAAAACTTGGGGGCTGGATGTGGCTCAGAGGGAAAGTGCTTGCGTGGCATACACAGAGTCCTAGACTCAATCTCCATCTCTATAGACCTGCCATCTATCCAACCAGTCAGTCAGCTACACAATCAACCCCTCAACTGACTAGACAGACAACCAACCAACCAACCAACCAGTCAACTAACCAACTAACCAATCAACCAAACCCATCATACAACTAACCAATCAACCAACCAACCAACCAGTCAACTAACCAACTAACCAATCAACCAAACCCACCACACAGCCAAACAATCAAATAACCAACCAATCAACTAACCAACAACTGACCAGTCAACCAAACCTACCAACCAACCAATCAATCAACTAACCAATCAATCCAACAACGAACTAACCAATCATCCAAACCCATCAAAAAACCAAATAACCAAGCAACCAATCAATAGAGTTACCAAACAATGAATCAACATATGCATAAATATTAAACAACAGCAAACCCCGAAAGCAGGCACAAGAGGAAACCAGGAACCTTTTCTTTCCTGGCAAAGATATTATGGTTGGGGGTGGGGTGGTCCTTCCATGACTTTCCTCTGGCTCAGGTGATCTGGCCAGTGTCCTCTGATAGAGAGCAGAGGGTGAGAGGCTGGCAGGCACTCTGTCCCACTAGCTGGTGTGTGTGTGTGTGTGTGTGTGTGTGCACGAGGAGTCTACAAGCAACAGTTCTCAGCATACAACAGACACATCATGTCTAAGAAGGAAGAGCACTAGGTGGCAGGGTCCCTGGATGAGAAGCCCACCCCCTCCAAGTAGTAAGGTAGCAGGACTGTCCTCGGGATCATGCTTTAAAGAACAGGCCAGTTTTGGACTTCATCACATCCTGTCCTAGATTCTCGTATGTTGGATATCTAACCCCTGAAGTGGGCATATTGGAATGTGGGGTCATGACATAACTCATTCTTACAGAAATGCTGCCAGGGGCACATAGAGATGCCCTACCCTGGACGGCATAGTGAGAGGACACAAACCATGAACAGGGGTCTCCAGGAAGCCAGCCCTACCTGCACCCTGATTTTAGACACCCACCTCCCCTTCTGCTATTAAAGCCCCCACCCAGTCTTCAATCTTCTTATCACTGCTCTCACCAGCAGGTCCTTGACAAAAGACACAGTGGTCCTCACTGCTAGAGTGCAGTCTTTGGGCTTCTGGGGACCAGAGCATCTCATCATCCTCGCTTTGCGTAACAGAGCCTATACTTCCTTAAGTCACTAGTCTCTTGACCATACTTCCTAGGAATGTCTCTGAGGTCCCTCACAAGGCCACCTGGGCCTCCCAACTGCTTGGAGCTTGTGGGGACGAGGCAAACGAGTTCACAAATGACATATCTAGAAAAGAAAGAAGAAAAGATGTGCTACCAGGATGTGTTAGAAATCAATACCGTTTTTATTGAAACCGTTGCAACAACCAGTGTGGCCCTATTCATGCGAAGCACAAAAACTTACAATAAACTTTTGTACATAGGAAGTTGTAAAATATATCATTTTTCATAGAAAAAAAAGCACACAGTAAACTGCGGGCCGAGAGAGCCTACAGATCATGGAGAGTTGGCACACCCCTCTGAACAGACCGGGCACAGCTCGGAAGCAAATGGAAACTATCACCAGACGCAGGACGCAGGACGGAGTAGGGAATGCAGCTGCTGTGGGCGTGGTCACTTTAAACTTGGGAGAGCTGATGGACACACGGGGTCAGAAGGGCTCTGACGTAAGGGCTTGTCATTTGTGGTTTTGTTTCCTTGCTTTCCACAGTGAAGGGCTTCCAGTTTCAAACTATTGATGAAGATGACCGAGGCTGCTAAGCCAGGCTCTGAGTGAGGTCTCTGTGCCTGGTGGAAGGGCAGCCAGGGAGCACCGAGGACCTCAGGACGGACTCACACAGCAAGTTCCCTGGAGATGGGATTGCTTGCTCATTCTAGAAGCCCAGGGGGCTTATGATTTTCCTTACCATCTCAACCTTGCCCTTTGGGCTGGCTAAAGGGTCCCACAGCCCTCCTTGCATCGGGAAGTTTCCCAGATGTTTGGTAGCAACCAGAAGTCCCCTTCCACAGGCTGAGCAGATGTGTTCCAACATCTGGAGTGGAAGAGTTTATGCCTTCAAAGACACCACACCCACACCCACGAGGCAGAAACAGCCCAGTGAACGGCTAGCTAGAGCTACTTCAAGGTTGTGTGCTTTTCATAAACTCCCCGGAAGGGATGGATCTGGGGAAAGCTATCTTAACACTCAGGAGGCCAGCCTGGGCTATGTAATAAGTCAAGGCCAGCCTGGACTACATAGTGGCTCCCTGGGGGGCGGGGAGGGGGAGGGAGGGCTTTGTTCAGACTCCCTTCCGTTTTTTTTTTTTTAAAGAACCATTTGTACTTTGCTCAAATGGATGTGTGTGGTGCCTGTGGAGACCATAGATGTCCTAGAGTTAGTTAAAGGTGGGTGTGAACAGCCCATGAGAGGTGGGAACTGAGCTCAGGTCCTCTGGCAGAACAACAAGAGCTGTTAACCACCAAGCCACCATCCCTGTCCACCCCCTTCTGCGTCTAAGAACTATTTGGCTGGAGCATGAAACCCTGTCTGAGGTCAGCGCTCACAGGCAAATCTGCCTCATCCTCAGGACTGGGGTGGGATTCCACCTTCTTTAGGGTAAGCTGTTTACAGAAGCATGTTTCATTTTACAGTGGGTTTGGATCAGGATCCGAAGTGACAGAAGCCAGGGCTCACCACACTCTTGGAGCCCGGGGACGCTGGCAAGCGCTGAGGGGTTCTTCCTGTGTGTCCCGGCCCCTCTTTCTGGTGGCTGGTGTGTCATGGGCGGTTTTACAACCACAGGCCACTCCAGTAACCCCCACGAGGAATGTGCCAGAGAACCATTCCTCCCACAGCTGAAAAGTAGGTCACCCAAACCAGGGGGAACTGGACGCTGAGTTGCCACTCTGACGGCAGCCGTGAGACAGCCCTTGTTCTATGGAGAGAGCAGACATCTAAGACCTGGAGCCTCCTGCAAAGCCAAACCCCAGAGGGGGTGCCTAGAGCTGCCTGAGGTGGGGCAGAAGCCACAGGGTCACAGAACGGTGAGGAAGGTTCCTGGTGCATTGGTCCTCCATGAGACCAAAGGTCATGTGAGAACAGGCCACACAGACAAGGACAAAAACAAGGTAAATCTCTGGAGTGCTGCCAACTTTAAATAGACCAGCTCTGCTGGACATAAAAGCACGTGACTGCCAAGAGGGCTGGGGACACGAACGTGGATACCACCAGGGCAGAGCCCAGGTTTTGCCCAGGGCTTCTCCCTGTAGCCCATCTGTATGACCAGCAAACACAGTCTCTATTTCTCTGTTGGTGGGACAGACTGTAACCTTATAGGGCTATCAACTCTTGTCATCCAGACAAGAGCCCCATTCACGACGAATCTCAAACCTGTATCCTCGAGGATTTGAAAGCCTTCCCCCTCCACCATCAAAGAAAACGTGGCAAGGAGTGTCTCAGTGAGCAGCTCCTGAGAGGAGGTGAGCCGCCAGATGGGGGCCAGAAGACCCTGCCCAGTCTGGGCACTGGTTGTCCAGCCAAGAGACTCCATGGCACGCTGCTCATGAAGGGAAGGTGCTCTATCACTCTCACCAAAGGCCATGGAGGCCCAGGACATTCAATGACACCAAAAGGAAGATTCCTGATTCTCCGTAACCCCCCACCCCCAAAGGACAAAGTACAGATTAAAAGCAGGACCCCAAATCCCAGTAGATGACACCCCTTCTCCCCAGGTCGCCAAATTCACTGCCTGACGGCGAAGATCCGGAAGGCGTTTCCGTTCTGAGGAGTGGTCAGGCTGCAAGAGAAGAGGGAGAAGGAAGTTACAAGAGTTGTGGGCAGAGGAATGGCCGATAGGGCCAATGTGGTAAGGTCAGAGCCCACAGAAGTCACACCCAGCTGGACGAGCCCACTAGCACCGACAGGAAACTGCCTCGTGAGCCCAGGCTGAGGTTACGGAGTGACTTTCTGGGTTTCTGCTGACACCTGTCTCAGACATCTGTTTGACAGATGATTTAAGGGACGGCATGAAGGGAACACACACCCCAATGCTACCCAAATCTACTGTCGTGGGTCCGCTATCCTTTCTAAGGCAAGGTTATCGTTACTGTCGGTACAAACAGGGGAGAAACACAGACAGCGAGGAATCAAGAGAGACAATGGTTAATCAAAACTACACTCTTCTGACGGGGGTCAAGTCCTTCTGGCCCTTTGTTGGTCTTTTTAATGTGGTGGAGGGGACAGAACCTCAGGCCTCGTGCGTGTCAGGCAGGCAGTCTGCCACCAAGCTATAGCCCAGTCTCATCTTCAAAGTCTCCAGCTGGGTTATCTTAATGTTGAGTTGTAAGAGTTCATACACAGGCCATGTGCCCACATGCAAGCACACACATGTATTCACACACACAAACATACATATATACTCACACACAAATACACATATACACTCACACACATATACACATATACACTCACACACATATACACTCACACATACACATATACACACACATATACACTCATACACACACAAACACATAACACACAGGCACACTCACATACATATATACTTACATACAAACATACACATATATACTCACACACACACACTAACACACACATATACACTCATATACACACGCAAACACACATATACACTCACAAACACCCTCATATACACACAAACACATAACACACAGGCACACTCACAAACACTCTCATACACACACAAACACATAACACAGGCACACTCACAAACACTCTCATATACACACAAACACATAACACACAGGCACACTCACATACATATATACTCACATACAAACATACACATATACACTCACACACACACTAACACACACACTAACACACACACACACTAACACACACACACACAGTGATCTGACTCTTGCTTTCTTCACTTTATAACAAAACATGGAATTCTATTTTTGTTTATTTGTTTTTGGAGACAGGGGTCTGGCTGTGTAGCCTAGGTTGGCCTCAAACCTGTTGGCATCCTCCTACCTCAGCCTCCTGTGTACTAGGGTTGCAAGCATGGGCCACCATACCTTGCTAGAATGTTCTTACTCTGTTTCCTCAGCTGCAGGAAACCCTGCTAGGCTTACGTTATATTTATCTGGGATCTAGAGTTCTTTCTAGTCATTTCATTGGCAGACAAGGCCAACACTGTCTGGAAGCTTCATACACCCATTTGTGACACCTGAAGCCACTGAGATTGGAATTATGGGATCGGAGTCCGGGAATGAGCCGAGTGTGGCAGCACAATTGGGAGGCTGAGGCATAAGGATTGTGAATTCCAGCCTAGCATGGGCTACACAGCAAGATTCTGTCTTCAAGGGGTAAAGAAGGCATTCGTCCTGGGGATGTGGCAATATAGTTCCTGGCGGGTGCTTACTTAGCACAAGGCTCTAGGTTCCATCCTGAGCATCACACAAAAACAATCATAATAACAACATTAAATTAAAGGCCTGGGTGCATCTGAGAGTTTGACAGCAGCCAAAACGTTTCTCGTAAACATCGTGCTAATTGGTACCTCCTGCAGGAGGTGTGCAGGGTGGCCTGTTACTCTGCGAGGTCCTGGTCTCAGTGGGAGAGCATGTCCCCAGTTACAGCACGCACACTGCATCTTATGACGATGCCTGAGCAGCCTGGCCACAATTTATCCATGCCGTTTCCTGCAGGGTCTCCGCTGGGAACAGGAGAACCCAGATTGGACCAAACTCCTGGGCCTGACAGCTGGCCAGGCTCTGGGCGGCCCAGAGAGCTACAGTCCTGTGGGAACAGCTGCTTGGAATTCCTGCTTGTTTTTCTGCCTTCCCCGTGGCAGCCTCACGCTCTTGGCTACCCTGGGGTTGAACCCTGGGAAAACGTATCAGATAGACATATTCAGCGACATGGTGCGAGACAGAGGTGTAAGACCAGGGCATGGTGGGATATTCACAGGGGCTGCCAAAGCCAAGCAGAGGGAGAGGGGCAGCTGCTCACCCAGGAGGCTCACCCAGCAGCTGGGCTGGTTTCTAGAAAGTGTCTTCTGCCCCTTGGGTTTCAGGCTGAAGAGTTCCCAGGGCTCTGTCCACTGAGTAGCCAGGAGAACCACCCAGGGCCACGTGTTCCCTGACTGCCCCACACGTGAGCAAGCCACGTGGGAAAAGGGAACTGGAAAGAGTTCTGGCGGGCTGCTGGGTGCTGGCACACGCGATCCTGGCAAGGGAGGTCTGGGGCTGCCAACCAGGCTGGAAGATCCTGGCTGGGGCACCCAACATCTTGCTGGTACTACGGAACACTTCAGGGTAGTGTCTACACACCTTGTAGCAGGGAGTCCAGGAGAGGGGCCCATGTGAATGCTGGTCCCTCTGTTCTTCCCTTCCTGAAGCCACAACACTAAGCTTAAGGCGCAGGTCGGGCACACGTTGTGTGTGTCTGAGGAAGGTTTGTAGGGTGTAAAAAATCATAAAGTCATCTCTCCCTACCCCTGCCTTTCACAAACCCGGCCCTCAGATGCTCTTTATGGTCAGGTCGTGACCCCCACAAGTATCGGGAGAAAGCATAGATGAAGCACTTTGAGGTTGTTTGTATGACATTATGGGGGAGTCGAGGGTGAGCATGAACCACAAGTCATCAGGAATCTCTCTCATGAGACAGGATTTCTCAATGAAGCTGGAGTTAGCCCTTTGGCTAGGCTGGGTGACAGGCAAGCCTTCAGGATAGACCTCTCTCCACCTTCTTTATAACACACACCGTCACGCCCAGCTTTATCAGGGTGCTAGGGATCTGAACTCAGGGCCCCATGCTTGCTGTGCGTACTTTACCTGCCTAGCCATCGGCTGAGCCCTTGGGATGATCAGCTTCCATGAAGGGTATTAAAGAATTTGATAAAAAAAAAAAAAGGCATCAGAAGTCTCTCAGCTTGGTTCCAGATGACTTGCTGGAGTCAACAGTTGGTCTACCATTCAGCTACTGTTCACTGCAGACCTAGTGACAAGCTAGGCTCCAGGTTCAGTACGTTGTGGGGCATGGTAACAAAACAGATGGATTCTGGCCTCCAAGGAGCTTATACCAGACAGACATATGCAAGGAAACCACACAGAGTAACGACGTGGGAAAGAAACAGGCAGGCCGGGCATGGAGGACGGCAGTGTCTGTAGGGAGAAGGATGCCAGCCAGGGGACATCACTTGTCATTAGATCTGAATGGCAGAAAGGATCAGTCACAGGTACACAGGGGAGCTGGGAAGGCTGAGAGTCAGAGGTCAGCAAGTGCAAAGGCCCTGGGGTAGAAATGGCCTCCACATGTTCCAAAACAGGGAAAGACCATGAGGTGGAAACACAGTGGAGTTGTGCCAGGGGAGGACACTGTGAGGTGGAGAGGTGGGTTTGGGCACTGGCAGGTGGCTTTTCTTCCTAGCACAGCAGGAAGCCGTTGGTGGGAAGGGCTCAGCAGGAGACAGGTGCAGATTTGAATCGGGCATGGTGGTGGCTGTGGCCATTCTCTAAAAGGAAGTTACCTGAGGGACCTGCTGGGAGTGTGTGGGATTGCACAAGGATGTTCTGCATCTGTTTAGTTCAGAAACATGGATGGGGAAGGAAGCGGCTGGGTATGCCGCCGTCTCGGTAAGCAAGCAGCGGGTGCTCGGGGCGAGAGTGCCATGAGCCACCCAGGCAGTATGGCGAAACATCCCAGAGTGCTCGCCCCTGCCGCCAGTGCAGACCCCTCTCAAAATCAAGTGCGAGCTGGGCATGGTGGCACACCCTTTTAATCCTAGCACCCAGGAGGCAGAGGTGGGCAGATTCCTGGTTATGAGGCCAGCTTGGTCTGTGCAGGGAGTTCTAGGCCAGCCAAAGCTGTTACAGTGAGACCCTGTCTAAAACATTAAAAAAAAAAAATTTTTTTTTTTTTTTACCACCAGGGCCCAGCAGATGGCTCAGCAGGTGAGAGAGCTAGCTGTACAGTCTGACAGGCTGAGGAAGAACCCCGGAACCCAAGCAAGAGGCCAATGTGCCGGAATTCGTCTGTATTCCCTGGATCCCCACAGCTAGATGGAAGACAGAGACAGAAATTTTCAGATAGCTCACGCCAGCCAGTCTGCAGTACTCAGCTCAGTGGAAAGAATGAGACCCTGCCTCAACAAGGTGGAAGGAGAGAACTGACTCCCTACATCTGTCTTCTGAACACACACACACACACACCACAACACACATATACACACACCACACATACACACACACAATACACACACCACACACACCTACAACACACATACACACACACCACACATACACACACACAATACACACACCACACATACACCATACACACCACACACACATACATAAACACACATCACACACACGCACACACACACCATACACTCATACATACCACACATACACACACACCACACATACACATACACACATCACACACTCACACATACACACCACACACACACAGACGCACACACACCACAACACACATACAACACACACACCACACATACACACAATACACACTCACACATACACACCACATACACACACGCGCACACACACACACACACACAGTCATCCATGGACACATACACACACACCATGGCACACACACACACACACACCTCCAAGAACACACACATACTCTATGGTACACACACTGTACGGGCATACACACACACTGTGGTACACACATACTGTAGTACACATGCACACTCTGTGGCACAAGTATACCACCGTACACACACATACAAACATACTCCACAGACAAACATATTCTGTGATACACACACACATAGAATCCATGGTATACAAATACATGCTCCATGGACACATGCAGTCTGTAATACATACACTTCACAGCATATGCATACATACACTTCATGGACACACACTACATGGTACACACACACTCCGTGGACACACATACACACACACTATTTTTACTACCTCTTAAAAGCCTCTCAAATCCTATGAAGGACAAGAGAGGAAGGGGGAAGGGAGGCCTTCTTGAAGGCCAGGGCACAGCTGGCCTAGGCCTCTGCAGAGGCCCCTGGAATCAGACTTCCACAAGGCAGGCAGGGCAGCCTAGTGGAGCTTGCATCTGAGAGGAAGATCTCTTGCCATTTGGAACCTTCCAGCACAGCCTGGAGTGAGAGAGAGGACAGCAGCTTCTGGAGCAGCACGACCTGTGCCGACACAGGTTGGCAGCTGGCCTCGGAGAGTCATGGAATCCTGGGACACAGATGAGTCCATGACTCTGGTCTTGGAAAGAAGAGGTTGTTGTCTTCTCATTGCTAAGAGATACTGAAGTTGGGCCTGCTGTGGAGGCCTGTCTTCCCAGCAGCTCAGGAGGCTGAGGCTGTACAATCCTTGGTTCAAGCTCTATCTGGGCTACAAAATGTATTCAAGTTCAGCCCATGAAATGAAGGGAGAAACTGTCCCAAAAATAAAATGCAAAAAAGAGGGGTTGGAAATGTGGATCAGGAGTGAGAGTGTTGGCCTAGCACGGTGAGACCCTGAGTTCGATCCAGTGTAGGAAGGGAGAGAAAAGGATGAGGGAAGCCGGTACTGTCTCTATGCACACACATGTTCTCCCCCTAGGCAGATATGTGTGTGCAGCCCTGCTCGACCAAGTCTCACCCCTGGTACTGATAGAGACTATCAGTCTACACTTAAGAGCCTGAGGCAGGAGGATCACAATCTCTGGGTCAGCTTGGGCTTTTAAAAAATGAATAGTGAGGTCCTGCTTCACTATTTTGTTCAAAAAGAACAAAAACAAATCCAAAAACCAAACCAAAACAAAACAACCCCAAGCAGGCCCCGCTTGCATCCCTCTCTCTCAGCCTCATTTTGTACTTTAGAAAATCCAGGTCTGCCCAAGCACTCTCTCCTGAGAGACTTCTGAAGCACTGGGCTTAAAACCAAATGCGAGCAAACATATCTTCACTTTTTACAGTGGCTACTAGGGCTGCCGGGCCCGTGGCGCTCACAGTGTGTCTGTTGACCCTCAGGTGGAGAGTGTCTCTGTTACCCATGCCCTTCCTCAGCCCAGGTCAGAGTTGCTCATACTGTTGACTAAACAATTCCACAGTCAGGCAAAAGCCTGTCTGAACACACCCCCTGCTGACGGTTTACTGTTCAGGGCAAGTGACCAGGAATGCCCCATCACCCCGGTTTAGGAAGAGCCCAAGCTGGCAGACATCTATCCTGGTGCTTGTTCTCTGTGAGGGTGCTGCTTAACCAGGGTCAGCCGCAAGTCTGGGAGAGAACAGGCTGTCCTGGAGACTCACTCCTCACACCCACCTTTCACAACTTCCAGGAAACCTCCTTCCCCAAGAAGACCATTGTGAAATCAAAGCTGTCACATCAGCCAGTGTGGGCAGTAGCCCATGCCACTGAGGATTTAAAATGCCGTTAGCCCATCGAGGAGTGGTACCATGGGCCTAAGAATCCCAGAACTTGGGAAGTAGGGCAGGGAGATTAGAAGTTCAAGGCATCCTCAGCCACACAGTGAGTTGGAGGCCATCCTGGTTTTACATGTGACCCTATCTCAAATGAACAAAATGAAAATAACAGGGGCCAGTGGGATGGCTCAGCAGATAAAGGGGCTTGCTGCCAAGACTGACAATGTGAGTTCCAAACCCTTGGACCCACACAGTGGAGGAGAGAACTGATTCTTTTTGTTTTTATGTTTTTTTGTTTTTTTGAGACAGAGTTTCTCTGTGTAGCCCTGGCTGTCCTGGAACTCACTTTGTAGACCAAGCTGGCCTCGAACTCAGAAATCTGCCTGCCTCTGCCTCCCAAGTGCTGGGATTAAAGGTGTGCGCCACCACTGCCCGGGGAGAGAACTGTTTCTTGCAAGTTGCCCTCTGACCTTTTCATGCTGCTATGGAACATGAGTAAACACACCCACACACCCACACACCCCACACACATACCACACACACACTCACACACGCACACACGCTCACACACACACCACACTACACACACATACTACACACACCACACACACCACACCACACACACACACACACACACTAAATGTAAAGATAAAAATAAAAAATATTTTAATTAGAAATAAAGTGCTATTTGGAAAAGAAAAGACTGGCCACAGAACATCCTATACCTTAATGACCACTGGGGCCATCTCTAACCCCTCCAGGGTCACAGCAGCTACTGGAAACAGACCCAACCTCTCACTCTGAAACCAGCTCCTGCAGGTCACTGGGACAGGCTACCAAGGCTTCCCAGTCACATCATTTCGAGCATCAAGAATGCCTGAGGAAGGCACAAACATGTCTGCTATGCCCCAAAACCTTTCTGCTGGAGCCTTGTGGCCAAGGAAGACCCAAGCTTCCTGTATTTTTGACAACAGTGACCTGCTCTTGCCTGGGTCTCACTTCTGTCTGACCCTACCAGGTGGCCAGACCCACACCACAGGAGAGAGGTCCAGCTTCACGCTCCTTGATAGATCCAGTGCCTGGGAAAATGAGGGCCTCGCATGTGGAGGAGGCCACAGGAATGAGAATGGACTTACTAGCTTGCTGTGCCAGGAGAAGGGAATGTGTATGAGGGCTTCAAGCCCCTCTGAAACTCAGTTCATATGGCTCTAGAAGTGAAGCCACCTAGTCCTGTAAAAAGGACCCATTTTTTTCAGGGTTTAGAATAGCTGCAGAAAGCAGCCAGGGTTGCTGGACCCCATCATCCACTTTGTAGAAGCCACTCTGCTGTAGCTTTTGATTCCCAATCACAACTTTGCCTCCTGGGGGGCAGGAATGAGCCTCACAAGGCTTAGGAAGCTCCTGAAACTTACAGGATTCACTAGACCCATCACACAGCCTAGGAGAGAGACAGACCTCGGATATCTGAGGACACAAGAAAGCAGTGCCCACAGTCTCACAAGCTCATACCTCTGTGGCCTCCAGAATCATGAGAAAGAAAGGCCATGGCAGCCAGAGTGTACCAGTGTGAGTTAGGCCCTCAACTCTATCTGCAGGATAGAGGTCTCCTGGCAATTTCTCACACCTTATAGGCCAAGGCTGGAGGGTAGAGGGAGCAGGGCCTTCTCTCAAGTGTGTGCCCTCAGGAGGAAACCACGAGGGAAATGGGTCTTTGCAATTCATTTCCACAGAATAGGGTCACATGAATCAAATAGCCTAGGGGCCCGGACCAGAAGCTGTCCTGAAGAACATTCTAGAAAGTCATACTAAGGCCTCAGAGGTCAGCTGGGGAATCTGAGAGTACACCTGTAGTATGTGCCAATGTCCCACAAGAAGGGTGCTCATCACTGTGGTTTAGGCCTCAAAGTATGAATGGCCCTAGATAGTGGTAAATGCCCAGAGCCATATGCACCCAACACCACCCCAAACTGCAGCCGACAGATACAGCAGGGGCAGGAAGTTAGCCCTGTGATTGCATAAGAAAAACCCCAGAGCTGTCAGCAAGGCCCTTACTTCCTGCCTGTCACCACCAGGCCCTGTCTCAATGACTTGACATCCATCCCATGAGGTCAGGGAAGCTGGCAGAAATACCAAACACAGCTTCAGCTGCAGAGAGGAGTGGGTGTCACCATCCCTTGGTCCTGCTGTGCTCACTTCATGGAGATAAAAACAACTTAGCAAGACTAGCCACTAGGCTGAGGTGACAGGCGTCCAAAGTATAGGCAGGTGGAGACGGAGAAAGTCCGCAGGGTTCTGCATTTCCATACAGCGTTTAAGACTATATTGTCAGAGGCCATTTCTAAGTGTGTGTGCAGCTTTCAGAGCTGTTAGAGCCTGGTTCGCTATCTCCTATGGAATAAATGCACACACACACACATATACACACACTAACACATACTTGGACACACATATGCATGTACATATGTGTGGATACACGCACATATGCATGTACATGTGTGCACACATACACACATGCATGTATGGATGTGTGTGCACATAGACACACATGTATGCATGCACATGTGTGCACATAGACACACATGTATGTATGCACAGGCATAGACATATACACACATGCACACACATGTGCACACCTGGGGAATAAGAGGTAGAAGCCTATATGCCAAAAAAAAAAAAAAAAAAAAAAGTGCACAGCAGTTTTCCTAGCAGATGCTAGGACCTGGAAATATCTACTATTTCTATATTTTCCACAAGGCAAGCATCAGAAATAGAAAAGGGAAACCTGAAAAACAAAAGGATGAACGGAAAGAGGATTGCAGGCTAGGCCAGCAAAAGGATGAACGAAGCAGGATAGACCAGAACACGGTGGTGACGCTGAACAAACCAGCTTTGAAAAGTAAGGAACTGCCAGGCCCGAGGGCCAGCCCTACCTCTCCGACTGCACCCCGTTCCTGAGGGAACCCACGTAGTTCTTCTTTTTGTCCACGGGCATCACATCCGCATAGCCACCAACCTCGTCGACGAGGACGCCTGCGTGCACAGCGGCCTTACAAATGCTGGAAGTCTGTGGGGATAGGAGGCTGTGTGTCAGAGCCAGGACCCAGGTCCTGGTGCTGCTGATCACGCCGAACCCAGGAAACAGCCCATGAAACCTCAGCTTCCAAACGCCCCTCAGAGAATGTAGTCTGTCACTCATCCAGATTTCACTCTCCTCCCACAAATACCTTTCAGAGCGGTCACACTGTGTGCCTGACCCTAGGGGACTTAGCAGGGACCAAATGAAGACCCTGCTTCCATGGAGTCGAGGAGGGAGCTGACAAATAAACACACAGACACACAGGCGAGATCTGTGAGGGGAATAAAACCGGGTCATGAGGTGGCGGCTCAGCTGGCTGTAAGGGGCTGCTCTAGAGCAGCTGAGGGCAGACTAGGGACGGAGACGTTCCAGTTGCACCCATGTGGACATCTGTGAGTGGAGCATTCTAGGCAGTGTGAGGAGACTGTGCAGAGGTCCCCAAGGTAGGAGTGAGCACAGCACGTCCCAGGAGGAGAAAGCGGGCTGGTATGCACAGACTCAGGGCACTGTGGACACAGGTGGATGCTCTCAGCTGTCTGGTGTATACCAGGGTGAGCCACTTCAGAGTCAAGTCCGAGGCTCACGAGACAGAAGATGGCAGGACACATCTGTTACTTTTCACCTAGAAGCAGGACCATCCAGAGTGGTCCCAGCCCAGGACCGGGATGTCTGATGTCCATCTAAGGCAGACAGCTTCGGAGCCACCCCTTGGCCATGTCCACGGGGCTTTCTTCTGGTGTTATCAGCCTTGTGGTTTAGACTGTGGATTCTGCCCTTTCTCCCTGTGCGCTGGACATGAAACCAGAAGCCTGTGCATGCTAGCCAAGTGCCCTGCCTCGGAACTGCACCCCCAGACCATGATCTCCATCTTCGCTGCACCATGAAACCAGAGGCAGTCTTTTCTCGAAGATGATGCACGCGTGTCTTCACCTCCTTTCTAAAGGTCTCAGACGCACACACTGAAGCTAAGTTGACCGGCGTAGGGAGGACCCATCTCCTACCCAGTATGAACACATCCTGGCCCTGACCGGATCTCAGTCCCCGCTGTGGCCTATTATCCCATTTGATCCAGCGAAGTGGGAAGCAGTCATTGTTACCATTTCTCAGGTCGGCAGGCTGGGCACACAGGGGTCAGTCACTTTGCCAAAGCCACTTGAGATTTGTGGACGCCAACTGAAGCCAGGGTGAGAGCGGGCGGGGTCATCATAACAATGGTCCCCAGAGATGACCACAGCCTAATCCCCAGACCTGTGAACGGCAGAAGGGCTTTTGCAGATGGGATTAAGTTAAGGATGTAGGGGCAGCAGATTACCGGGTTTATCCCAGTGGCCCACAGACATCACAGTGTCCTGTAAAAGAGAGGGGCTCAGAGCTGGAACACAAGACTCCCCTGGCCATTGCTAGCATTGAATAGGCCAAGAGCCAAAGCATGCAGGTGGCCTGGGGAGACTAGTAGCATCCAGGGCACTGGCTCTGTGGCTTGACCTCTTTCTGCACTGAAGAGCAGAGTGAGCTATGTACCCTACAGTCCCCAGAGGTTGGTGTCTGGATGGTCACACCCTAGAGTGCTGCCTCCCAGAACTGCGACCAAGGCACTCCTGGGAGAGCCTGCTTCCAGCTGGTTGACATCCGTCTTCCAAAACCATATTTGAGAACACGTGTGGCCATTTCCTCCAGATTTGACTGACCATAGCCATCTTCAGTTAGAGCCTCTTCGCTCCTACAATGAGACCCTAACGTAATTCGGCCTGTGGACATTCCAGCATCAGGAACGGGGAGCTCAGGATCCTTAGAGACCTCCTGCTTCTTGAGGTTATCCAGAGGATAAAGAGTTAATTGACCGGGTGGGGTCTCTTCCTGTATAGTCCTGAGCCACTCCAGGGGGCTCTTCACTGGTATAGCTGTCTAGACACCAACTGTGAGACTTCTTGGTGGCCTGAGTCACCCACAGTGCTATACATAACCCCAGTAAACTCACTGGTTCACCAGGATGAACCTGGAGGGCGTTCTTCCTTTGGTCTATGGGCACTCTCTCCATCCAGGGAGAAACCAGCACTGCATGGTCTTCTCAGGAAAATTTGCCCTGCTCCCTGGGCAGTTACAATAGCTGCCAAAGGCTGGAAGGCTCAAAAACCAAAGGCCTGGTCTTTAATGCCTTGGGGACACATCTTGTCTTCCTCAGTCGACAAATGATGCAAACAGGATACTTATCCCCAAATGGTCCCGGGCCGAGGCCTGTCAGGCTGGTGACTAGCAGGGTCTGGTTCCAATCCTGAGCATGGCAGCGTGGCCTAGTCACCCTGTCTTCATGGAGACACATTTTTATTTTCTTCCCTTGAAGAAGGATGTACAAATTCCAATTCCCAAAGAGGTCTGTGCTGTGAAAGGTTAAGAAGCAACGGACCTGCATTTGTCCCTAAGACCGGTGGGGATACTGGTGACACCAAACCTTCACTCGGTTTCAGAATCCCCAGAAAACACTTCTCGGAGGCTCGTTCTCTGAATGGACATAATTCTCTGAATGGACATAATTCTCTGAATTCTTGGCTGACTGGCAACTGACCAGTCACTGTGTCTGTCTCTCAGATATGTTCGTCCTGTCTAGGGATTGACATTTCCAGAAGCAAGGCATCAGTTTCCTGTGGGGCAAGTGCCAGGAAAGGCTTCCTAGTATTTGCCAAGCCTCCTGGGGTTGCACACTCACCCCATGAGAGGTGAGTCTTCTCCTGAAGCCAAGAGGCCATGGCTGGGCCCTTCATCCCCTCCCTGGAGGAATTCCAGATACCATGACGCCCACATTTCCTGGATACAGAGCAGGCCATTCTCACATCTCACGCCTGGTGATGCTCACATCTCTGACAACTGACAGACAAACACGCATCCTTCCCCTGACTCTCCTGCCACATGGAGAGGGTGTCCACTCTCTGCTCATGCTGGTTCAACATTAATTCAGGGCCATTTCGTAACAAACCCTATGATCCTAGAGTCTCGCCGGCCAGCCCTGGCATTTGGCAGCTCTGGGACCCAGGGCAGCCCGTATAAACTGCTTAATGTGCTGTGCCACCAGCAAAGGTGACACTGGAGGTGTGCCCAGTCTGTCACTCACTCTGACATCATGAGCCCACAAGGTCACTGGGGTCACTGGTCATTATCAATCCCTCTCAGCAGACAGGAGATTAAGGGTCACTCAAGGACAGCAGAGCCATGGTCCCACAGCCTGGGACATTCTGAAGAGCGATGGCAGCTGTGTTTCTCCTTGCAAGGTTCAGGGATGCCATAGACAAAGGCCACCGACTGCTGAACCCACTGTCACCATCTCCAGGACCCCAAACTCTCAAGGACTGTCCTTGAATTCCAAGCCCCTTCCTCAGCAGCCCATGCACCCTGGGGGCGTGTTCTAATATAGGTTCTACAGCGCTACTCGCTACTCGGGTGGCTGGGTCAGAACAGCTGTGGAGGGGCTGGGAGGCTCATCCAAACACTGTTCCTCTCTGTGATCCTGATGCCCACACAATGAGAGTTTGTTTGGGCAGGAGACCCCAGGATGAGCAAGGAAACTGAGGTTCAGTGGGGAAAGAAATCCACATGGGTAATTCCCCTGCCTGGGGCCAGCTCGGGCCTCTTGACCTCGGCTCTGGTGTCTGAGCCACACCCAGACAATCCTGCTTGCAGCTCACCACAAAGGGAGCTGCAGCCAGGACAGGCACTCTGCAAATGGCTGTATCCGTGGCACTCGGAGGCCCTTCAAAGGTCTGGAGACTACACTCCCAAAATAAATCTCTTAGCTAAACAGACATTTTCCAAGAGGCAGCCTCATTTCCCAGAATACAAGGTGACCTAGAAACACAGGCCAGCAGAACCTAGGGATAGAGACACACTCTTGCTCTGTCCTCCTGCCCGCCCGTGGCCTTTCTCTCTGTCTCTCTGTGTCTCTCTGTCTCTCTCTCCTTTTTTCCCTTCCTCCCTCCTCTTCTTTCTATTTTCTCCTCTCCTTCCTTCCTATCTTCCGAATAAAGGGTTTTTTTTTTTTTAGCATCAACAACTGCAGTATCTTTTTGTGCAATAAATACCGAGCCTTTACTGTATGCCAGGCCCAGACAGAAGCCCAGCCACTTCCAAGGCTCAAAGCTCAAGGAGATATATTCATTAAAGGCTTCATTCACCTGCATGCCTGCCCCTGTCCAGATAACCATAAAGGTACAGATAACCATGAAGAAGGGAGAGAGTATATCCATCTCACTCTGCCATGTATTCGCTGTGGTGTTTGGATCAGACTGTTCTGAGCGTTATTTTTCTCCCTTTGCCAAATGACAAGGATTCCTAAACAAGGTATTTTTCTAAAACTTGAGACACAGTAGATACTGAGAAAAAGCTTGGCAGCATGGCTGTCACACATGTACAGGAGAAATGAATAGAGCAGCCTTGTTTATGACTTCTAACTTTCTGCTTTATGTGTTCGGTTGCTATGTTATTTGTTTTTTTTTGTTTGTTTGTTTTGTTTTGTTTTTTGTTTTTTTGAGACAGTTTCTCTGTGTAGCCCTGGCTATCCTGGAACTCACTCTGTAGACCAGGCTGGCCTCAAACTCAGAAATCCGCCTGCCTCTGCCTCCCAAGTGCTGGGATTAAAGGCGTGCGCCACCACCGCCTGGCTCTATGTTATTTGTTGCATACAGATTTGGTCTTCATGTCTTATGAAAAAAAATCTGCATTTTTATGTGTACCTCTTGTGCTCTTGCATGAAGAATTGTTTTATTCCATTCAGTACATTTAAATTTGAGTTGTATTTTATCAGGTAACTGTCAAGTTTTTAAATGGTTTGTATCTGGTTGAAAGTTTTTGGTCCATTCTTTTATTCTGAAAACATTTTAAAAATCACAATTTGGGGCTTATCTTGTTTTGTTTTCTGTTTCTTTTCCTGAGGATGGAACTTGGGGCTTCCTATTAGGTGAGCTATAACAATGAATACATCGTATTTTCCTTCTTCATAAAAACTCTAACATTCAGAATTTAATTTCAACTAAGTAGCTTTCCAGACAGCTTTTTTTTTTTCCTCATAAAGAAAAAAAAAAAAAAAGACAAGGAAAAAGGCTTAGTCATGAAGGCCACTTTGGCCTTAAGGAAGTAAGTGACTTCACGCCTACAGGGATCTGGGACAATTGAAGGCAAATGGAAACAAAGATGGTGATGGCGAGGGAAGAGAGCCGTTTGCAGAGGACTGGGAAAATGTAAGGGACGAGTTAGCTGGAGACATGATACACCAGCTGGCAGGGTTTAGAACTAGAAGATACCGTGGGCTGGACAAATCTGGCTGGCTCTGGGATTTCCACTCACAGAGACAAAAAGAACTCAGAGGAATTGTGTGTGCTGGGAGGGTGGGGCAGGCCTCGATCAGATGAGGAAGTGGAGGCCAGGGGCTTGCCCCTTCTGGGTCACTGTGTCCCAAAGCCCTGGACATTGGAGGGAACAGGCTGAGCTCTGAAAAATCAACAAAGCAAAACTAGACCTTCTCGTCTGAGTTAGGAGAGACTACTAGACAGAGTTTTGTTTTCTATGTGCTTATAGCTGAGAGCATACGAGGCAAAAAGAAACAGTAGCAGACTGACCGACCTTGTGAAAAGTCTACAGAGGGATGCAAAGGTGACCAAGCTGTCCTTTTCTCCATCAACTTGACCCAAGCTAGAGTTATCCGGGAAGACAGACTCTCAAACGAGAGCTTGCCTCCATCGGATTGCCCTGTAAGACAAGTCTATAGGGCATTTTCTAGATTCAGTGACCAATGTGGGAGGACCTAGCTCACCCTAGGGGGGACCCAGCTCACCCCAGGCTCACTTAATACCGCTGCTGGTTCTGAGTTCTATAAGAGAACAAACAAAGGGAACAGCCAGCAAGCAGTGTGCAGTCGGTTCCTGCCTCCAGGTTCCTGCCTTGAGTCCCTGCCCTGGCTTCCCGCAGTGATGGTCTACGACCTGAGAGCTGTAAGCTGAAATAAAGCCTTTTCTCCACACTTGCTTTTGGCCACGGGGCTCATCACAGCAACAGAGACCCCAACTATGGCGGCGAGTAAATATCCGAGAAAATGAAACCTGTGAAACGCAAAGACCTTCAAACCAGGGAAGACCATCTAAGTAACAGGAGACATGCTAGAGCTTCCCATACACAAAGACAGACAGACAGACAGACAGACAGACAGACAGACAGACAGGAAGTGGGCCCATGTATGGATGGGATGCTGGGGCTATGGCTGCAGGAACTGATTGGCTGGGTATAGCCACAGGCTGTGGGATGAGATCTCAGGTCCTGGCTTCCACATCCTGGGACTGGGTTTCTGAGGTGGCAACTCAGGAATTTAGGCTACTCACGTCAGCATAGATGTTGGTTCCATACACAGGGGCCCAATAAGATGGCTCCTCTCCACAGCGTGCTGGACAGCGGACTCTGGAAATGAGACACAATCATAGTGCATGTGTGTGTATGTGTATGCATGAGTGCATGTGTATGTGAGAGAGAGAGAACTATATATGCCATAGTTTGTGTGTAGTGGTCAGAGGACAACCTGCAGGAGTCAGTTATCTCACCACATGGGTCCTGGGGATCGAACTCATGTTGTAAGACTTGGCAAGAAGTGCCTTCACCCACTGAGCCATCTTGCTAGTATGCAGATGAGACAGAGGTCTAGGAATCCTAGCTCAGGGCTGGATGTAATCCTATGTCCTCAAACACACAGGGGCCAGGATCAAGGCCAGCACAGAAGGAAAGGAGGCCATTGTCCCCCATGGTGGCTGTGGTAAACACATCCTTGTCTTTATTTAACCATGCATGTAGGCCTGGAGAGATGGCTCAGCGGTTAAGAACACTGACTGCTTTTCCAGAGGTCCTGAGTTCAATTCCCGGCAACCACATAGTGGCTCACAACCATCTGTAATGGGATCTGATGCCATCTTCCGGTGTGTCTGAAGAGAGTAACAGTGTACTCACGTAAAATAAATAAATCTTAAAAAAAAACAAACAAACATGCATGTAGAACTCAAAAATGCCATAGTGAAGGTCACAGAGAAATAAAGTTACAGGGCCCCAGGATAGGCGTGTTGGACTGTGGGGTTGCACCTTCCTTACCTGAGTGTTGACAGGGTGTGCTCTGGGAGCAGAATATAGATCATTATCAATAGAGTTTTTAAGGCTATTTCCTTATGTAGAGAGAAAGGGTGGGGAGCCCTCACCTCAGTGACTCAGAATGTTCCAAGAAGGGCACCGATAACTTGAGGCAGAAAGGGTTGGATTACCATAGAACCCATGGCCTCAACCCAACTGATGGCCCAGGGTTGAAGAGGGCTCCTCAGACTGAAAAATAGGAGGGCCCCAGGTGTCTGGCAAGCCCCATGCCAGGAGAAAAGCATGAGCTTTGACTAAGAAAAGGCCCTTTGTGTCTGTCTGGAACAGTTTACCACAGGCTGAGCCCAGGGACCACAAAGCCAAGATGGCGGCTGAAAGCCACCTGGCCCAGATACAGGCAGGATGCTTGGCAGGAAGGAAGCCAATCAGCCGGGCTGAGGCAGCTCTTGAAAAGGAACAGAAGGAGAAGGCAGGGAAAGAATTGTGTGTGTGTGTGTTATGTATGTGTATGTGTGTGGTGTGTGTGGTGTTGGGTGTATGTGTGTATAGGTATGTGTATGTGTGTGGTGTGTGTGGTGTTGGGTGTGTGTGTATGTGTGTATAGGTATGTGTATGTGTGTGGTGTTGGGTGTATGTGTATGTATATGTGGTGTGTATTGTGTGTGTGTGGTGTGTGTGTATGTGTGTTTCTGTGTATGTGTGGTATATGTATGTCTGTGTATGTGTGTGTGGTATGTGTGTGTATGTGTGCATGTGTATGTGTGTGGTGTGTGTGTACGTGGGTTTAAAAAAACAATTCTCAAGTCTGAGAACTCTCAAGCCTGCTCCCGGAGGGTGTCAGGTCGGAAGGCCGCATGAACACATGGACCCTGATGAGCTTTTCCTCATTTCTGTTTCCTGCCACTTTCCTTCTCTTTCTCTGTCACACTCAAGAAATCCCCTTGACTGCTCCAGCCACTCGTATGTCCCTAACAGCGTCTTTAAAGGCTCCCCTCTGTGCCGACAGGGGTGTGGGGAGGGGTGGCAGTAACTTTTGGGTACAGCTCAGCACAGACCCTTCTGCTCATGCCTGCCATAGACAGAGCCAGACCCCAGGCAGGTCCACAAGAAGACAAACACCACAGGAGAAAAGTCTCAGTCCCTCTTACCTCGGGCAGTGGGTGGCCGGCTTCTCGAAGGGGCACAGCTGAGCGACTGTGGTGTGGCAGTCCACGGCTGTCTCTGAGGACAGGAGACAGAAAGTGTGAGGCCATAGTTCATGGGGCTGTGGATAGATTGTTCAGGTTGTGTGCCCACACTCACAGGCCAGCAGAGTGCACACACCCCAGTGTGTCTGCAGGCACAGACATCTCCCTTGGTCTCTCCAACACTCTTGAACACTTTTGAAACCTGCCCCTTGCTGTGCCATCTTTGACTGCCCCGGGTGCAATTTTGTGTCTACACATGGAGAAGCCAAGGGACCCTAGTGGTTCCTGCTTCCGTCTCAGATCTCCCTGGCATCTATCCCTGCCAGGGCAGTGACTCTGCCCATCAAGGCTGCCTTCTATTTAGAAGACCCGACACTGAGCATGTCTGTGGTATTCAGATGGCAGCCATGCTCCTGTGTCTCTGACTCAGTCATTTATAGCCGAGTTCAAATCCAGATGTGCTTAGAAGCAGCCTTTAGGACTCCCCCTCACAGAGTCTTTCTGGGAACAGTGCCTCGGGCTGAAATGGTAACTATAAAGCAGGGACCAGGGAAGGGGAGTTTCCTGGGCAATCCCAGGCCCACGCATCTGTCTTTCTGCACCCTCGGGGTCTGGTCCTCTTACCTTTCACTTTCGACACAGTGAAGGAGCTAGATGGTTTATATTTGCTGAAGAAGAAAACATGAATCAGTCAGTACACACTATGCTTTTCACAGCACCCACGCCTCACACTGCCCTGCTTGAAACACGGGAACCCAAGAAGCTTAGAATATTCTAGAGTGGGGTTGTATAACCTTTTATCGCCAGCAGTCTAGAGAAGCCTTCAGACCCCTTCTTAGAATAATACTTTTTTTTTTTTTTTGGTTTCTTGATATATATACCAGTAGGCCTAGAACTCACTGCAGCACAGGCTCGCCTCGAACTCATGGTGATCCTGCATCAGCCAGAATAAAGGATCATAAATGCCTAAGATGAAGTAGGGCCAGTGGCTGGCCCAACCCTACGCACCCCTGGACTGGATCAGCTGTGGCTCACGGGAGAGAGACAATTGTGGGACACCAGCTGTCTTTTGTTTTCCTGTTTTCTTAGATGTTTCCCAAAGTCTCAATAATCCGCGGGGGTGGGGGAGGGTATGCTTGTGGAGGGGAGAGGGGTACGTGTGCAAGCATGTGTGTATATGTGTGAAAACCAGAAATTGGCCTCAGGGACCATCCACATTTTTGTGGGAAGGACGTTGGGAACAGGGTCTCTTATTTACCTGGCACTCAGCAAGTAGGCTAGGTTGCCACTGAGTTCTGGGCATCTTCCTGTCTCTGCCTCCCCAGTGCCAGGATTACAAATACACCACACACACCACACACAGACCACACAGACCACACAGACCACACAGACCACACAGACCACACACACACACACACACACACACACACACACACATATGCACACTTGCACGCACGTGCGCGCGCGTGACAGGTACCTCAGGGACTCCATGCCATTTTTCTGAGATTTGACAAAGAAGGGTACCATCCCATTCCTGGTGACATCCACCAGGCCACCTCGATCATCGATGACACCATAGTGGATAGCGGCTCGGCATATGCTGGAAGACTACGGAGCGACAAAGAGACCACAAATGTAGAGTTCCTCTTCCAGAGCCACCTGAGGCCCTTGTCCCCAGGCAACCAAAACTCAAAAACTTGGACTGAAACACACCCCACTGACCATTCCCCGCCGTCCTTAGCTACATCCTTTCCCTGGATGGCTTCAGAACTTATCCTGGCTGCTTAAGTCCTTCCAGCTGAGCCTGCTGACCCCAGAACTGCAGAGACTTTCAGTCCCAGTGCCCAGAAGTGGTTTCAGTGACTTTGAACCCATGAGTCCATTCAGATTGGTCCATTCGGGCGTTCCAGGTTGAGCCAGGAGAGAAGACCTGTCTCTGTGAGTCCCACCGGCTTTAGGCTACCTGGTGCGGTTTCCTGTTTGCGATGTAAAGAAACACTGGCCACACTTACGCTTTCATAAAACAGAGAGCCAAAGACCTTCGCCTTGTTGTTCAGACAGCCTGCTGGGCACTGGTACCTGGGTGGCAAATACAGAAAAGCTTGCTGGTGAGGTTGCCCAGTGACGTCACCACTCTTCCTCACTAGTGATGAGAAGAGTGTCACTGATGGACCTCACTGCTGTGAACCACGATGTGTGTTTCTGTGTGCACACAGAGGTATAGATGCCTGCAGACACCAGAAGAGCTAGTTAGATCCCTCGGAGAGACAGAGACAGGAATTTGTGAACCATCTGTGTGAGTGCCGGGATTCAAACCCTGGTCTTCGCACGCAGCAGAGTGCTGGGATTCAAACCCTGGTCTTCACAGAGAGCAGCAACCGTTCTTACCTGCTGAGCCATCTCTCTAGCCCATTTGTTTGTTTAGAGACTAAATCTTACTTTGTGACCCGTTACGACCTGGAGCTAATTATGTAGTTAAGACTATTCTCAAATTTGTGACAATCCTCCTGCTTCTGTCTCCTTGGTGTTAGGATGGCAGGCATACACTACTCGTGTGTGTGTGTGTGTGTGTGTGTGTGTGTGTGTAGTGTAGTGTTAGATCTTTCATGATCACTCTACACCCTATTTTTTTTTCCAGACAAGTCTTTCTTTGAACCTGGGGCTCACTGGTTAGGTAGGCAGACTGGCCAATAAATCCTTGGGACCCACCTGTTTCTGCTTCCTCCCCCCCAGCACTGGGGTACAGACCCTCATTCAGCTTTTACAAGGATGCTGGGGAAAATCTCTGGTTCTCATACTTGCACAGCAAGCCTTCACCTACACTGAGCCGTCTCCGCAGGCCAGGGTTTGCTGCTGTTGTCGTTTAATGAGGATGACATAGAATGTTGATCCCCCTGTTCACCACAGACCAAAAACTAACCAATAGGAAAGCCTTCAAGTCCACATCCACAGACAACCCCCCCCCCAATTTCCCTTCTAAATATGTACATGTCCAGGAAAAAGTCAGCAAGCTACCTCAACTGCACATCAAGTGCACTGGGACTTGTAAGGACTAGGCAGATGGCAGCAGGTGACAGAGGTGCAGCCAAATGTAGCTTTGTGTCACCATTCGTCAGCTTGCTATGTGGCTGCTATACACAGAAAGGCCTGAGGAGAACTGATGGAGTTTGGAGAATGATCAGTGAACCCATGAGCGGGGCTAGCCTCAGTCACACGGATAAAGAAGCGGGGGACACATGCCAAGCGGATGAGGCACTGGTATGCTTGGTGGGTTTTGGTTTTCCTCTATGCATTGTTTTCTGGATTAAATAATGAATAAAAATAGCTTCCAGTGTGGAGGGAAGCCTAGCGGCTGTGACTTCTGTAGTAAAGCTGGGCTTCCATAGGTTGTGGTTTGGGTTGAGTCGCCCTGGCTGACGTGAGGACTCTGAAGCCTCTGTAAACAGACCCTCGGCCTCTGGCTGCCCAGGAAGAGCCATCTTCTGAGAGCCTAGACTGCCCCAGAGCTCTCCAAAGATGTGATCCAGGGTACCTGCTCGATACCCAGTTCACCCAGTGCAGACAGTGACTGTCGTCCTGGGTTTAGGGGTGGTCATGCCAGCACATCTGGCTTGTCACATCTGGGTTGTGTCACCATCGCTCAGTGGTTTCCTCTCACGGGACAGTTGTGCAAAAGGTTCCCATAGCTATGCAGGGCACCCGGTGGGTGTCACCGGGTGCTCTCCTGCGATAGCCACATGCTGGCTACTCTGTTTCCTGTCACTCCTGTGTGAGTGAAGGGCTCTCCCACACACTGGGATTCAAGTCCATTGGGTGAGAAGGAGAGCCACCTTCTCCTTCCAATCAATGCTCCAAATAACTCACTCAGTTCTTGACAGGCTCAGATGGTGCCAGTGTCCCTGGGCAGAGGCCTTGAGTGGCACCCCCCCCCCACCCAGATGAGGGTATCTCCCCTCAGGGAGCAGGGCTCATGTTCTGCTTAGAGAGGGAATCCTGTTAAATCCTAAGAGACCTCAGGCTGTGGGCTAAACCTCAGGTAGCTTGAAGCCAGGCCCAAGAGCAGAACTCACACCAACAGGTCAGCCACAGACTGGAGTGAGAACTGGTTCATCAGCACCCATTAGGGTTGAGACACACTGGTTACAAGAAGAGCTTTCAGGGGTGTCACTCCCATGATGTAATCCAAGGGAGCCTTGCAGGCTGTAGCCCTCTCTGGACCAGAGACAAAGCACTTGGTGAAACATGTGCCGGGTAGAGTTATTTTAGGATACTCTGACCAGTGCCTGGGGACAGTCTTGGTTGTCCCCACTGGCATGTGGTAGAGATCAAGATCTGGGAGGTTGCTCAACATCCCATAATATATGGGGTGTCCCACCTCAATGTTTCATGGACTCCAGGAGGGAGAGGTGAGAAACTCGAGTGACATGTGACAGAGGTGGATCATTCGTCAGTCAAGTGCTCAGTGGGAGGCAGTGGTCAGGGGTGACAATGGGTGTCACGGTCAGGGGACAGCAGGATGCAGCAGTCAGGGGGATGGAAGAGCGTCATGGGCAATCTAATCAGCACATGGCACACATGGAAGCTTCCAGCTCGATCTGGTGTACACTGTGCTAACTGTATGAGTGCCATTGTCTCCCGTGTTTCCAGGAGGCTCAGAGTAGGAAGCAAGGCTTTAGCAGATCACGTGACTGGCATGTACCTCAGGAGGGTCCCAAGGGCAGCTAGCCCAGCCCAGCCCTCACCTGTTACACGTGGTTCCCTTGCAGGAGTCCTTCATCTTGGTGTCGCAGTGGACCACTTGGGCTAGGAAAGACAGGGGAATGGGACTATGAGACCAGGAGGGTTAGAAGACCCCTCCTCCATTCCCAGGGACATTCTGGAACCTTCTGGAATCCATGCCATAAGAGCAAATGTAACAGCTCCTGGCTATGGCTTGAACATTTTCTTTCTTTCTTTCGTTTTGTCTGTTTGTTAGATACAAAGTTTCTCTGTGTAGCCCTGGCTGTCCTGGAACTTACTCTGTAGACCCGGATGTCCTGGAAATCAGAGATCCGAGTGCCTCTGCCTCCCAAACACTGGGATTAAAGTCATGAGTCACCACCACCCAGCTTCTAGTAATTTTTCACTATTAGCCCAGACTGGACTCACTTGAGATCCTCCTGCCTCAGCCTCCAGAACACTGGGATGACAGACCTCCATCACTATGCCCAGCTCCACACTTAGTACCACTTTAGACAGAGGTGGTTGTGGCGTTGCAGAAGTTATTTTCTGCTGGTATCCAACTACCACCCTCAAGCAAGGCAGACAGGGGCCAGTGCCCACCTCAAAAGGTTCTGTGAGCATTAAATTAAAAAGCCATATGACCATGAGTGACACATATTCACTCCCCACAGCCCCACTTGGGTCTGGGAAGGTAAAGCTTACAAAGGGGTGGGTTGTACAGGGGACACAGCTTGTGATAGGCTAACTCTACACAGGGTTGGGATGTATACAAGAGGTAGACATGAGAAGGTAAATGTATAGGCAGTGGTGTTTGCAAGAGTCCTCATTCCAGCCTAGACACAGGGAGCCTGGCTATTCTGACCCACGCTGTGTCTCTCCCGACCAACATGAATTTTGCCAACCATTTCCGCAGCCTTCTGCTCTATAAGGACTCCTCAGGGGCTTCTCAGGACTTCTCGGGGACTCGGGAGCAGTGTTGCTTAAGACAAAAACAACCAAGGGGCCGCCATACAGATGACCCAGTGGTTACAAGCACACACTGCTCTTGCAGAGGACCGGAGCTCAGGTCCTAGGACCCATGGTCAGACAGTCTGTAATTCCAGCTCCACGGGCTCTGACTTCCTCAGCAGAGCGCTGCTCTAATGTACCCTATCCACAGGCGGGCATACACATAATTGAAAATAATCAAAATTAATCTAAAATAAGAGATGGACAAGATTGTAATTTTACAGTATATTAAAACTGGCCCTGTCGGGACAATCAGGGCACCAGCGTTCTTCCTGGTTAAGCCAGCTCTTCAGTCGCTGTAGGTTGGGCGACATGTTTGAAGACCAAAAGAGCCTCATGCGGGGAAAGAACCATGGGATGTCTTAGAAGAGTGGACACACCTCTCTCTGGCGGGACCACTATTTTACCCTCTAATGTTGAGAGATAGGGAACCATCTACTGACTCTGGGTGGTTCACTCACACTGCTATGAGCCATCTTTGCAGTCAGCCTATCACGGCTATGGCTACCCTTCTTGTACAGATGAACAAATGGAAGCCTTACAGAGTGGAGGAAGGGGCCAATCTGAGAGAGACAGAACCTGGGGAAGGATGTGTGGACCATCCCAGAACCAGCCTAGATGTGATGTGCTCTGCTTTCTGAGTGGGTAGTATATCCCAGAGAAATTCAGCTTCCTCCCAGAGTCCTTTTGAAAGTCTCAGGGAAATCTAACATTAAAATATCTGCCTTGGGCTGGACAGATGGCTCAGTGGTTAAGAGAACTAACTACTCTTCCAGAGGTCCTGAGTTCAATTCTCAGCAACCACATGGTGGCTCACAACCATCTGTAATGGGATCCGATGCCCTCTTCTGGTGTGTCTGAAGAGAGCAATAGTGTACTCATATACATAAAATTAATTAATTAATTAATTAATTAAAAAATATATCTGCCTTGAGAGCGGGGGAGTGTAGCTCAGTGGGCACAGTACCTAGCTAACATGCAGGAAGCCCTGGGTTCTGTCATAAGTGCCACATTAAACCAGGTTCACTGGATGTGGGAGAACAAGGATCAGGAGTTCAAGGTCACCCTTGGCTACATACCAAGTTCGAGAGCAGTCTGGGTACCCTGAGACTCTACAGTTAAACAAACAAACAAACAAACAAACAGCAAACAAACTTGGAGAAAAGAGCCAGCCCAGCACCCTCCCGTAAGACTTATTTCTGTAACTTTTTAAAGTTACATCATTTTCAAATAAGACTTGGGTTTGCACTGGGCAGTGGTAGCGCACGTCTTCGATCCAAACACGAGGCAGAGGCAGGAGGATCTCTGAGTTCGAGGCCAGCCTGGTCTACAGAGTGAGTTCCAGGACAGTCAGGGCTGCACAGAGAAACCCTGTCTCGAAAAACCAAAAAAAAAAAAAAAAAAAAAAAAGACTTGGGGTTGCGCCCAGCCAGCTCCACCCACCCTCTCCCTATTGCAGGATTGCAGGGTACCCAGCTTCCCTCCTCCACCAGCCCCTATCAAAGATGGCTTGGAGGCAAGCACCCCAGAGACTAGAGACACCGACTCACTCATGAAGTTGATGACTGGGGTCTTCTTGGTCTTTGAGGGTCTGACCACCCTGGGCTGAACCCAGACGTGAGTTTCCTCGAGAGCAGGGGGCGATTCCACCTCGTTTATCTCATCCACCTCTGGTTTCTGATTGTAAGGCTCTTCTGAGGGTGATAAGGGAGAAAGAGAACACGCTGGGTTCAACCAAAATGCCCTTCGGTTTTGTTTTGTTTTTAAGACGGGATCTTACTGTATAGACCAGGCTAGCCTCAAACTCAGAGATCCACTTGCCTCTGCCTCTCACATTCTAGAGAGATCCTTAGCCACCAGATCCATCCCTAAAATCCTCTTTGGGGAAAAAAAGCACCTTAGAGGCTCAACTTTGCGATTTGGCTTCACAAAGAGTCGTTTCATCTGTAGAGAGGAGGTTATGCTGGGGACAGGCCTGCCCAGGTGGAATTCTACCAGCCCCGAGGATGGTCACCTCACGTCCATGTTTACTCTGGACCTCAGAAAAGCAGCCCTGTGTGGGGGTGGGGTGCAGCAGCCACACCTGGATGTCAAAGTGTTCAATTGTCCCACCTCCTCTTCAGCACAACCCTCTGACCCCGTCCCTACCGACAGCCCCAGAATTGGAGCTCTCTCAGAGGTCCCTCTCCTTCCTAGATTTGTTGGGGGCAAAGTCACAGAGACTCATGTCTTATTTTTACCCCTAGTGACAGGGACCCCCTCGCCTGGCTCAAGCCATGGCTTAGCCATGGCAATTGGCTATCTTAACCCTGGACCAGGCTGGGCACAGTAGCTAGTGCCTATAATCTCAGTGTGCAGGAGGCTGAAGCAGGAGGATTGCTTCAAGTTCAAGGCCAGCCTGGCTATGTCGTAAGTAACATGACTCTCTAGGCTACATAAGGAGACCCTATGCCCTGGTTGGCTTTCTATTGAAGTGATAACCTCCAGGACCAAGCGTGGAAGGGAAGGGCTTATTTGGCTTACAGAGTACAGTTCAGTGAAGAAGCCGAAGCAGGAACCTAGGGCAGGAACTGAAGCAGAGGCCATGGAGGGGCATCGCTTACTGCCTTGCTCTCTATGCTTGCTCAGCCTCCAACCCAAGACCATCTGGCCAGGGGTGGTACCACCCACAGTAGGCTGGGCCCTCCCATATCCATCATTAGTCAAAAAAAAAAATGCTCCCACAGACGTGCCTCCTGGCTAGGCTGATAGCGGCCGTGATACGAGATTGTGTCAAGATGACAGGACAAAAGACCCTAACCACTACACACTCTCCCTCAACTTAAAAAGCAGGACATATCACGCAGACCTGTAATGTTCACACTCCTGAGGCTGAGGCAGGAGAATTGTCAGCTCAAGGACAGCCAGGATGACATAGTGAGATTCGGTTTCAAAACGTGTTAGACCTGGTACATTGAACTATCCAAAACTCCAGCTCTGTGGTTTCAAAGACTGCAGCTTAGTTGGCTGAAATCCCTCAGTCGTTTCCCACCCAAGGGCATCCTGTACTGTCTCTTCTCCGTTACCACGACCCACCCCCCAACCCCTGTTTGAAAGCACTTCAGTCCGTGGGCTGAACTGTTCACGGGGTTCGTAGCCTCAGCTCAATAACCTCCACTCCCGTTCAGGACAACACGGGAGTGGCTCCATCCACAAATGGACTGCCGGGACACCCAGCAAAGCAAAGTCTGAGAATCGGCTGGCCTCCCCAAGCTGCCTTTACCCATGGTGAGCCCCCAGGCAGCCCCACTGAGGACCACAGCTCTCCATAAGTCTGTATGGCAGAGCCAGGAAGTGCCCTTCCACGTACCTCAGAGGAGAAAGCCCAGAGCCTCCCTGATGTCCAGTAAACCTGGACATGCTTCCCTCGCTGACCCTTTGAAGCTCAGCCCACCCACCTTGGCCTGCTTATTAACATTCCCACAAGCCAGTGAAGGGGGTGAGTGCCCCCCAGGCTGGCAGTCTGCTTCTTAGGAAAATGCCATCTCCGATGCCAGAGTCAGACGGTCGTCAGTTTGGGCCAAGGCTATTTCAAGAAGGAAAAATGAAGCACCCCCAGGCCTGTCTGATTCTACAGAGGCCCATCATCCCCAAGGGCTGTCTTCATTGAGCAGAAGCCTGGGTTTTGATGTCCCCTGCCAGCAGGACAGGTATCCAAATGAAAGGCCAAAAAGAGAGGTGAGGTGCCCCTGTCTGTCTAGGTGAGCACTGGGAAGTAAGTGGGGACTGACTTATCCCAGGCTAGCCCTGACCTGAGAGGAGAAGGGACAGGGAAGGCAGAGATGAAAGAACATACATATGGCTGGCTGTAATTTCATCTTGGCTTCCAGGAGCCCCAGCTTCCTGGCCCACCAGACCCCCATTATCCCATACATGGAAGAAGCTCACCAAAATCCAAAGTGAACTTAGCGATTCAAACCTCACCGCTTGAGAGCCAAGGAAAAAGAATGCCCAGCATCAAGCTCTAAGGTTCCCAAGGCTAGAATTCCCAAAGTAAAGTAGCACCAGCTCTGGGCTGAACCTCCACAGAGCCCCTGGGCTACACAGGCAGCCACAAGGCCCGTCTGATCAATGCAGGCATTCACAGTCCCCTCACTGACGGACGGACGGACGGCGGGGCTGTCTGGGCATGGACTGGGTTTCTTCCACTAGCTTTAAGACCTGATGACTTAAAAGCTCAGCTTTCCCTGAGCCAAATCTGGTTTGGAAGGGTCCCCTAGATCCACACATAAAAGTGGAAAGCTGAAAATCATGTACTCCAATTCCTTCCGTGGGATGCCATAGGGATATGTGACCCAAAGGAACTAGGGCAGTCCCTGGTGACCATTGCTGCATCTAAGCTCACAGAACTGGGACGTAGCTGGACATGGAACTGGGTTCCTCCCCAGCCTGTTATTCTCCCCACAGAGAGGTGCCGGATAGAAGGAAATGTCTATCTTTATCCTTAAATCCCGTGTCCCCATTATAGGTCACGGCCTTAAGGGTGCCATGGCACATCCTTATTTAGTGGCTTATGTAGATAAGCCAAGTTAGGGGAGGTTTTCTGCATGGCTAGCTGAGGAAACCACAATGACTGCCAAACAGAGTTGGGTGTTTTCCACCACAAATAAAGGAATAAGCCCACGGGCACCATGGGACGGGTAAAGCCAGTGTCTGGGGCCTCTCTGTGCTCTGGCTGCTTGAAAGAGCCCTCTGTGGTGGTGAGGGTCTCTATTCACTGGCATGTAGAATGCACCTGCATGCGCGCGCACACACACACACACACCACCCCTCGTGCCCTGGGGTGCACCAGCAGCTGTAATAACAGGACAACCAGGTACTTGAACAAGATGGCAGGTGCATGTCTGTCTGACATTCAGAGACTTCCTAAAGGTGGAGATAAAACTTGTCTCCAAGGAAGAGCTGTCGCAGGGACTTGGCACAAGGCAGTTCATGGGATAGACTGTGAACAGGGTCTAGATTGTTCCTTCATCCATCCCGGACCTCTGGTGACACCCTTCACCACAGCTAAGTGGAGTAGCAGAGGGCCTATTGTGAACTATGTACTCTGCTGTTTCCCATCCCAGGGTCCAACACACTGACCCCATGCCGATCTCAGGGACCATACAGGTAAGAAGGTCACTACTGCATGAGTACCCTCCGCTGAAGCGGAGCCTGCTCCCTACGCTGTCAGCCCAGGCTAGCTACTAGAACGACACAGAATAGAAATCTCAACCACAGACATCTGCCCTGCTGGTGATCTCAACCCCTCTTCTGAGACCAAACGTCTGAGAGCCAGAACTAACTATCCCGGAATGTAAAGAGCGTGTTAGGCTTGAGAACGTGTGGTGTTTACGGTGGGAAGAGAAACGGATGCTTCCTATGCAGCCCAGTGTGAGCCAACCGAGCCATGCCTGTAGGCTCCCCTGGAGATAGAAAGCAGCCTGCCCCCCAGCTGCCCCAGCCCCCAGGCAGCCTTGAGAGTCATCACTCTCAAGAGGAAAACAGAGACATGTTCAGGACAAGGTACCAGTGCCTGTGGCTGATGGGGACCATTTGCTTTGAGTTTCACATTTAATCATCTTGATTCTTCCTGCAGGTTTTGTTTGGGGAGTGAAACAGAGTCTTACTAAGTACCTACACTGATCTCAGATTCATGGCAATCCTCCTGCCTCAACCACCCGGGTGCTGGGATGACAGGTGTGAGCTACCACTTCTGACTTAACAACCATCTGTTTTTTAGCAGACTGCACATGCTAAGGAAGGTGTAGGAGAGGGGTCCAGGTCAAGGCCATGTCCACTGTCCACTGGGACTGGGCCAAGGAGCTGCCTGTGAGGAGCATCTCAGGACAGTGCTATCTTCAGGTGGCAGGCACTGAGTGCAGAGGGTAGAGGGGGGGCAGGAGGGGCTGCAGGGGTGAGTCTGCATCTGACCTCACTTCCACCTCAGCCGTCACCAGCTGTGGCTCAGAGGCCAGAAGCCACACCAGAGATGTGACCCTCAAACCACCTACCTCGGTAGCACAGGTTGTTCCGGCATCTACCTCCATAGCTGGACGGACACTCGGAGCAGGGACGGCCATGCTTGTAGGGGGCCTCGCCGATCCAGTTTCCCCTGAAGATAGAACAGAAACACCATGATCAGGTCATCCTTTAGGCCCAGGAGTCCACCAGGGGACCCCAAACAGAGTCCCTGACAGGTCTGGGTAAAGAAAAGGCAGTTGCTTGGCCTCCCGCTCAGTCAGCCAGGGGGCTCTGGGCACTGTGATGACAGCCTGTCACTGAGCGCTGTGTAAGGAATGGCTCCCTGGGTAACATCTGTGGCCCCAGACCCATCTAAGTGACCTCAGCCAGTGTCCCCAAACCAGAGGTTTGGCTCATTATTCATTTAGTGGGTAGTCACTAGGACAACCCTCTGTCAACGGTCTTGATAGTATAAATAAAGCAAAGAGGCCCTCTAGGGTGGCCTGTGGTGGCTTTCTAGAGAGGCAGGAGCTCCTTGTTAGAGCCAACAAGATGCTGCATAGACACCTCTGTGTACCCCGTGGCTTACTCCAATGACCAGAGAGTGCTGATAACCCCGAGCCAGGGAGGGAGGTGGCCCATGTTGAGGGAGGGGTCTTGCTTCCTCCTCTGCCCTGTCACAGAACACTCTCCTCTCTATAGGCCCACCTGGACAGTTGGGACAATCTCTGGACACGGCTGTGGACCCTACAATTCTAAGCCCTCACGTATTTGGGCTGGGGACACACAGTGGTGGGCACTGAGGTGAACTTCAGTGGGACACCAAGAAAAGACTGAAATGCCCCCCAGCTGTTCATGGGAGAGCGTGGTGGTCTCCTTGCCCACAGGGGCTTTCTCCTGCTCCCCAAGCCCAGTTCTCTTCAGAACACTGGACTCTTTTTCTTTAAAGATAGGCCACACCTCCAGGTTTCCAGGACTGTAAGGGTAGAGACCGGTGTTCACTGAGCTGGCTGGCCTTTCTAGCCAGACAGCAGATGTCTAGGCTCCCAAACCGTGGACTAGTCCACGGATGGCACTGTCTGCACACGTGAGGCCATAGGGACAAGAGCCAGGCACATCTTGCTCCAGTCCCAGCCTCTTGTGTGTCATCCCCTCCCTGGTTCCATGATGGTGTCCTGAGGGGCTAAGAGCCCGGGAAAGCCTCTTGAAGGGAAAGGCCATGGGAAGTGTGGAATATTATACAGCAGTCAAAAGTAACTAGCAAACAAACTGACCATGGATGGGTCTTGCAGGCAGTGCCCCGCCCCCATTCGCAATGAAGGCAGCCTCACCTGTGGCCACCTATGGGCCTTTAGGAGTGTAATTAAGGTTAATACGTGGGGCCCTGCTCAGTAGGACCAGAACCCACACGAGAGGAGTCCTACACGCATGCTCACTGTCTCATATCTTCCATAGCTGTGTGGGCACACAGCAGGAAGATGGGTGACTGCAAGCCAGGGGACATTTCCCTCGAATCAATGCCTCTGGGCCTTCATTCTTGATGTCTTCCCTCCCATACAGGATGTGAACAAGTGTCTGCCATCAGGCCCTAGCCTGAAGTGTTCACTATAGGTCCTAGGCTGGCTCAACAAAAGACCCTGACACTGTGGTGCTTTTACCAAGAAAGGGGAGAGAATAGCACCAGGGAAGGGGAAGGTTTTTTTGTTTTTGTTTTTTCGAGACAGGGTTTCTCTGTATAGCTCTGGCTGTCCTGGAGCTCACTCTGTAGACCAGGCTGGCCTCGAACTCAGAAATCCACCTGCCTCTGCCTCCCAAGTGCCGGGATTAAAGGTGTGCACCACCACCTCCCGGCTCGGGAAGGGGAAGGTTTTATTTCTGTTAAATCTTTTTGCATTTATTTACTAAATGTGTGGGTGTGTGTGCACGTGGGACTTGGCCGTCTCTTTTCCTGCTATGTAAGTCCTGGGAATCGAACTCAGGTCGTCAGATTTGGAGGCAAGCCCCTTTACCGGCTGAGCCCTCTCACTGGCCCCAAGAGTTAGGTTTCTGATTAGAGCTGCCAGCATTTTTTAAACATAAAGATTTAATCCAACTTGTCTCTCACTTTGCACCTTCAGCTGACCTAGGAATCGCCTCAGAAGCAGAGCCTGCAGGAATATGGCCGCTCAGCGGCCACCCCAAAGCCACACTCCATGCTTTCTCCACAGTCTTTCCCCCTCCCAACCCCACAGCTCCCCCACCCCGCCCTACTCCCCCTCCTCTGACCCGTATTAGTTTATTCCTCTTGTAATAAGCATGTCAGAGAGTCCACCACAGCCCCGTGCCCGTGCTGGGATGGCGGCCAGCATGATTGTTCAAACCACAGGCTGCGAATGGGTAAGCAGCTCTGTGCTCTGTACATATCTGTGCAGCAAGCCGTTGGGTGAATGATGCCCTGTGACTGGGGTGCTCTGTGAGGACAGCAGCTACACTGGGCAGACCTGGTGTGGCCTGTTCAGGAAGGGAAGGAGAAGATGATAGACTCTGTCTGGTGGGAGATCAAGTGGGTCCTAGGAATCGAACTCAGGTCATCAGATTTGGAGGCAAGCCCCTTTACTTGCTGAGCCATCTCACTGGCCCCTAAGAGTTATGTTTCTGATTAGAAGACTCAACCTGTGTCTCCATTTCAGAGAAAATGGCACTAGCAATGCGCTCTCTCCCTCTCTCTCTCTCCCTCTCTCTCTCTCTCTCTCTCTCTCTCTCTCTCTCTCTCTCTCCTTCTCCTCTCCTCTCTTCCCTCTCTCTCTCTTTCTCCTCACCTCACTCTCCACTCCACTTCTCCCTCCTGTCAGACAACTGCTACCCTTGCTTGTACAAGCGGTCTTAGGAGATGACTCAGAAAACCAGTTGGAGCAATTGTGGTCCCCCTGACTATGATTGATCTAGTTCAGGCCAACAACATTTTGTGGGGAAATGCCAGAGGAGACAACTCATTCCTGCAATTCTACTATGTTAAGCGGAAGTGTATGTGACGACACGGCGCTGGAACTCAGCAGCCACCTTGGGGCCATGAGGACCTTAAGGAAGCCCAAGTCTTACTGACTCTCCAGCCCACTTGCTTACCTAGAGGCAGCCATTTCTAGACTCTTTGTTAGTGAGGTAACTGAGACTTCGCTCTTGTGACCAGTTTTAGCTCATTCCCCTGTGGCTAACAAGCATATCCCAGCCTGGCTTGTGTGACAGAGACTACGCAGTCTTACTTTGGAGAATAATTACAGACGAGGTACACGGCGTTCTCCCAGATGTCGCCCCAGACGTTCATGTTCCGACAGGTGTGCACGGCACAGCCAATCTTGTTGGTGGTGGCCCAGACCATCTGAAATGACAGCGCCGTGTTGTAGCTCAGGGGTGGGGTGCCCCAGGGTGACTCTATAGGGCACCGGGGAAGGGCAACCGACTGGGGAGTGTGCCTGTCTTTTAAAAACGAGCTATATGCGCTCAACTGTAAAACCGTCATAGACGTTTCCAGAGTCTATATTCTAAGTCTCTCCTCCGTGAAGCCGTCTATAGCAAACAGTGCGGCCTAACCAGTGTGCTCAGAGACAAACCGAGTTAAAGTCAAGGCCTCACACACTCCCATTCCCAAACACACCCCCCAGGTCTGGGGCACAGGCTGAGTGCATTTCAGCTCCTACAGCATTACCTGTGTGTAGTGGGTGCACATGGCTCCTGAGCACCGCTCGGGGCACCACGGGTTGCACTCGTGGGGGTACGGGTAGGTGTAGTCCTTCACCTCGTCATACCATGACTGCACGTGGAACCCAGGAGAGCGGTACCTATGGGGACAGAAGTAGTGGGTGGCCCACAGATCAGGCCAGGTTCTCAGTGCCGTGCCAGCATCTGCCTGAAACCACCCCATCCTAGGTGGCCTCCAAGTCTCCAAGCGTGTGTGTGTGTGTGTGTGTGTGTGTGTGTGTGCGCGAGACATTTACTTCTGATGCCTTAATTATGTATCCGTTTATGTATCCATTTTTACTTACAACAGGTGAAATACAATCAACTCAAGAAGTCAAGGTTTCAGACACTACGGCCAAGATCACCTCCATTCAAGATGTGAATGCTCCCAGGGCAGGGGAGGGGTGGCACACCCTTCACCTTAGCCACTCCAGAAGGTTAACACAGGGGGATATCAAGTTCAAAGCCAGTCTGGGCTGCAGAGTGAATTGACTGGACGACTCAGTGAGAACTTGACTCAAGACAAAAAGTGAAAAGAGGGGTGGAGTGAAGCTCGACAGTGGTATTTACACGTGGGAGGTCCCCCATACACACACACACACAGAGACAGAGACAGACAGACACAGAGAAACAGAGAGAGACAGAGAATCAATCAGGGCTGAGAGAGAGAGAGAGAGAGAGAGAGAGAATCAAATTAATCAGGGCTGAGAGAGGAAGAGAGATGGAGACAGACAGAGACAGAGAGACAGAGAGAAACACACACGGGGGGTGGGGGGAGGGTAGGAATCAACCAGGGCCAGGAGAGAGAGAATCAAATCAATCAGGACTGAGAGACAGACAGAGAGAGGGAATCAATCAGGGCCAGGAGAGAAAGAGAGAGAAAGAATCAAATCAATCAGGGCCAAGAGAGGTGGGGGAGGAGACAGACAGAGAGAGAATTGATCAGGGCCAAGCAGAAGGACTTTGCAAGGAGACAGGGATGAAGGGTAGACATATCTGACAGACACTGAGTGGCTGAGAAGTGACACACAGCTCTGACACCGTGGTGGGACCATGGATCTGCAGCCACTGCTCCAGGATGGCCTTGAACTTTCGACTCCCCTGCCTCCCTGTCCTGAGTGCCGGGGCTCCAGGTGTGAGCCGCTATGCACTCACTATTCTGTTTTGTTTCAGTCAGGGAGAAAAATAAGAACTTGTCTGTGAACCCACGGCAAGTGTAAACAGTGGTTCGTGGAGAATGATGTCTCCGGCAAAGTGACCCTTTGTGACAGCATTGCGGTCAGCCAGGCAGTTTGAGGTCTTGTAACAATTATCAGCTGGGACCAGCACCAGCAGCTGTGGTCAGCAAGTCCCCAGACCCGGCCTCCCACCCTGGTCAGCCCCTCAGAGGCATGTGTCATGAGGAGCTGGGGCAGAAGGGGGCCTGCCTGTCACTCCTAGGGATACTATCCACCAGTATGCCTTAGGGGAGGATCCTACCGATCAAGGAGGGGACAGTCTGAGCCTCTGACCCCATCCCTGTCCCAGCATCCCTGGAGGATGAACAGAGGGCCTCAGAATAGAACCAAGCACCAAACCCAAGCCATGGGGACAGAAAGGATGCAGGTGGGTCTGTTAAGAAAGGCCATCTTCACACAGGAATGCTATGCTTGCTACACACCAGTATGCTAGAAGGAAAGGGACCCATAGAGGGAAAAGGGAAGCCAGCCAGGGGGGCAGTCTGGACTGCAGTTGGACTTTGGAAAAATGCACCGGTGCCTGGCCAAGCAGGTAGGCTGAGCTGAGCCTGTCAGAGCTTCAGGTTGCCCCATTAGGCGGTTTGTTTGTTTGTTTGTTTGTTTGTTTGTTTGTTTCTTTTGCTGGGAATCGAACCCAGAGCATCCCACCCATGTACTCTACCACCCGACACCTTGATGACACACGGGAATGCCACGCCCTCTGTGGCAGCACCCAGCTCACACTCAAGTAGGGGACGCTGCAGCTCGGGATGCCAGCTGTTCTTACCTGCCCCAGTGCACAGCCAGGTTCTGCCCGATGGACACCAGAAGGCTGGCAGGCCCATGCTCCCACAGACACTGCTGTGCCCACGCTGCCGCGGACCTCTCCAGCTCCTCATCCCAAGTCTGTAGGGTAGAGAGAGGGCAGCAGACCGTCAGGAGGACAAAGCAGAAATCCCAGCCCCGGGACTGTCAGAGTGCAGGCTGTGCCTCTAACCTGTGAGATGTCCTGGAGAGTGCACAACTGGGGGATGGTGGTGGTGGTGGTGGGAGTTGCCAAATGACCGAAGTCAGACACAGAGAGGTCAGGTGAGATCTTGGTCACTCACGGGTTATTCTTAGGGGCCAAGAGCTCACCCACAGTCCCAGTGCCAGCTCTGGATGCACCCAAGTCTCTCCCAACTTCCTGCCTCATTCCTGGAGGGTGCCCATTTTATTTCATCTTACAGAATAGAGAGCCGACACTTTGAGAAGCCAGGCCAGAGGCCCACAGGCTCATACCCAGATAGTCTAGAACCAAGCTCTGAACCTAGGCCTGTAGGACCGCCTGGGGATACCGGTCTTTCCTGGTCCACCGTGATACGTTGCCAGAAAAAAAAAATCAGAAATCGGAGCACCTCAGAGCCCCACCCCACCCCGAGACCATCCCCCAGCTCAATCTTCCTGCTCCTGCCCGACCACCTCAGCCTCGTGGGCTTTATGGGTTCTCTCCACCCCCTGCCACAGTGTCTCCTCAGCCTCTAGAAGCCTGCTGTCGCGGACGGGGGTGGGGGCGTGGTCACGGGGCGTGGTCACGGGGGCGTGGTCACGGGCTCCCCTGGTCAGCAGCCCTGTGAGGTTTCATTCACCTTCCTCTTTATGTGAATCCCCCAACGTGCATGCCTACTGCGCATGCTCAGCAACTCCACCGACCTCGCCAGTTAGCTAAACCTCACACACGCAGAAGACTGAAAGGTAGAGGAGGGAGACTGTGGTCTTCCCCCCATTCTCATCTTTATCCCGCACCTCCTCTGAGTGGGGACGCTTCCAGATTAGCCTGAGTCTAGCTCCCCATCTGCAGATCAGAATCAATATTTCCTGCTCCCCGGGTTCCCAGCAGGTTCCCTCAGGTCCTCATGCTCCCTCCCCCAACCTGGTTCTCCATGGTGTCTCTGGCAGGAAGATGCACCACACCGCCCACCTGCCCAGGGGTTGCTGCTGGGACATAGTCCCCCAGCAGGAGCTGCCTCAGCCTTGGCAAGGGGGTACAAGGATAGTCTGAAGCTTCCATTGACAGCATGGCCTCTCTGAGCAGTCCCTGGAGGAGTGGTACCCAGCCACCTGCGTAGTACCTGGGAAGCAGTGAGCTTCAGTCTCTGAGGTAAAATCTACTGAGGTAAGCCAGGGGCAAGAAGTGACTGTGGTGTGTGATCATGTTCATCCTCACTCCAACCCTCATCTCAATTCTGGAAAGCCAGCCAAGGGGGATGTTTCCACCACCATGGGACTCAGAGACAAATGGCCACTTCATGTGGCTACCACAGAACAGCTTATAGCAAGAGCTCAGGAGAGCTGGTCTCTCTGGCTTCTGTCATCGTTGGCAAAGGCCAGGCAAGAGGCAGAGCAGCTAAAAGAGGAGCCTGCCCAGGTACCTCCGGAGCCTGCCCAAGAACTCTACCATGAGTTTTTATGTTTCTAAACATCCCCCCCAAATGAAAGAAGCACACACCTACTCCTTGGGCTGACATCTTGGAAGGGTACAGAGGTTTCCAGAGAGGAAAAGATACAGGTTTATACCGTGTTCCCCCAAAGCAGCCTTGCTCGGGGTCCACATAGCAGACCACTCATTCTAGACTCTTGAGACCATGAAGGACTCATTAGTCCAGGGTAGTCTCTGGAAGAAAGTTGTACTGGCTGGTTTTGTATGTCAACTTGACACAAGCTGGAATTATCACAGAAAAAGGAGCCTCCCTTGAGGAAACGCCTCCATGAGATCCAGCTGTAAGGCACTTTCTCAATTAGTGATCAAGAGGGAAGCCCAGCCCACCAGGTGGGTGGTGCCATCCCTGGGCTGGTAGCCCTGGGTTCTATAAGAAAGCAGGCTGAAAAAGCTAGGGGGAGCAAGCCAGTAAGTAACATCCCTCCATGGCCTCTGCATCAGCTCCTGCCTCCAAGTTGCTGCCCTGTGTGAGTTCCTGTCCTGACTTCCTTTGGTGATGAACAGCAACGTGGAAGTGTAAGCTGAATAAACCCTTTCCTCCCCAACTTGCTTCTTGGTCATGATGTTTTGTGCAGGAATAGAAACCCTGACTAAGACAAAAGTCAATGGCTGCTTGGGGGAGGAGGTAGTCCTGTGACCTAGGGGACACAGACAGAAACACGGCTGGACAGGGAGAGAAGCCCAGCCTTGGCTTCACTGAGGGAGAGTGAGAAAGGAGGGATAAGGAGAGAAAGAAGGGGTGAGGTGGGGGTGCCTGTGGGCAGAGTGCTTGCATCTTAGTTGGATGCCCTGTAGCTGGGTCTGGAGAGTACAGCTCAGTTGGCAGAATTCTGGCCTGGCATGCACACCACCCTGGGCTCCATCTCCAGCGCTGCATAAACTGGGCACAGTGGTGGACACCTGTAGTCCTAGCACGTGGGAGATGGAGCAGAAGATCAGAAGTTGAAGGCCATCCTTGACTACATGTCAAGTTTAAAGCCAGCCTAAGCTGTCAGAGAGGCAGCCGGGCACATTACGAGGTTGGGTGCAGATGGGTTGGAAGTTGAGACAACCTCAGCTACATAGCGATTTCAAAGATGGCCAGGACTCCATGAGATCTCTCCAAAAAAAAAAAAAAAAATCATAAGACACCGTACCTGCCCTGGGCCCACCATCACCCCAGTGGGACACTCACCATGTATTCCATGTTGGAGGCAGGGGGATACACCTGACCTCGCAGCTTGTTGTGCAGCATGAGGATCTCCTGACGGTCTGACATGGGGATGGCCCTGCGCACTCGGGAGTGTGGCTCTGCATCCTGGTACTTGCTCAGCAGCCTCTCCAGGCTCGTGGTGTTGGGAAGGAAAAAGGCTTGCACTCCGCAGATCAGGAGAGCCAGCCCCACCGGGACCATATTGTTCAGAAGACAGCTCATGGCTCCCACGCGTGCAGCCACAACTAAGGGGACAGGTCAGCCCGGGCTCCTGAAATAGGGCTGGGCACCGGAAGGTTCTGGAAGGAAAAGAGGAAGTAGGATACAGCAAATTAGAACCAGGTCAGCCATGCCCAATGCCACCTCCATCAGAACAGGGAAGGCTCTGTCCCATTAGCAAAAGTTCCCCCTAGTCTTTTCTCACACAGAAATGCCAGGTGTGTAACTGTCACATGGGCTTGGGAGTTCCAGGGGCAGGGTGGACAGAAGTAGGGAGGGGATGGAAGACGAGGAAGTGTTCTGGAAAGCTACTTGCTGTCCCAGGGGGCAGGGCAGAGGCAGAATACTCTCTATTACCCAGAAGTGTGAGCCTATAGTTCCCATTCTACAAATGGGACAGCTTGGGTTAAGGCAGCTGCCCAACGGGGGGTGTGGGGGGGCTAGAGGGATGTTCTTAGGGCTAGCGGGATGTTGACTGTTTCATGACACTCTCTGGAAGAGCTTCCATCTTGACTTGAGAATACCAACACACCCAATTCAGGGACAGGGACACCCAATAGCCAGACAATCAGGTCTGGCTCTGAGGTTCTTGCATACTGTCCTGCCTTCCGGGAAGGGTGCTCGGAGGCAGGTGAAGCGGTGACTCTGTAGATGAGGACTCACTAATGAAGCCTCTGGGGTGCTTAGCCAGGGCACACCCCTGGAAACCCTCCAGGGTTCCAAGCAAGCCTGTGTAAGACCAAAGGCACAACACAGAGAGGCGGGGCTCAGCTGCTCTCTAGTGCCAGAATCAAACGCTGCCCTGCTCCAAGGGAGGAGACCTTGGAGGCAGAGCCCAGGAGACCAAGGAATACCCACTGTGTGCAATGGCCCAGCCGGAAAGCACACCAAGAACGCAGACCATTCAGAGTGCTCAAGCTCCCTTGGGTCGGTCACAGCACCATAAATGCACATCCCAAACTGCAGAGTCAGGTCAAAGTGACACGCCAAAACATGTCACTGCCTCCCCACCCTGAGATCATGGCAGTGCCCAACCTGTGTTTCTCCGTGCTTGACTAGCGCGAAGGGCAGGACCCAAAGCATTAACTGTCATGTGACCTTACTGTGACCAACCGGATGAAAACCCAGGCCTTACTGAAACAGATAGCCTCAGAGTACAGTCGGTAGGAGAAACAGTGAATCCACTGGTGGCGGGAAATGGGGTAGAGAACTATACAGGGGGTTAAAGAAGCCAATAAATATAGCATGGTGGTAAGGTTAAAAACTGGTACATACATGATACCGCATGTATGTTTGATACATAGGGCAAGGGCTATAGCTCAGCAGTGGGCCACCGGGCTGCCTTCCATTCCTAAAGCTGAAAAAAGGTAGACAGAAAGAGACAACACACACTGAGTCATGTATATGTGTGTACACACACACACACACACACACACATATACACATATATGTATATATACACACACATATACATACATATATATGTATACATATACACACACATATACATAGATATGTATATATACGCATACACACATATGTACACATATATACAGATATATACACACAGAGACACACACACAACACATACAGATATACATACACATACATATGTATACATACACACTCTGACATACATGCACACAGGGACACACATATATGCACACAAACACATACACATAAACACACATACTCTTGTACATACCTATGCACAGGTCCATACACAAAGACACATCCTACTATAAATAAATAAACTTTAAGATATCACAACAGACACAAGCAGAGAGACACGTATGAGGGGACACAGGGAGATGATACCACCTGCAAGCCAGGGGAGACCTCAGAAGGAGCCAGCCCCACCCACAGCTCCGGCTCTGGCTCCTGGTCTCTGGCACTGAGACAGCCATGTGAACTGTGGGGTCAATTCCACACCAGGCAATAGAAGAGCAAGAAGAGAGGCATCTCAGGTGTTCCTGGGCCGTAGCATGTAGAGGAACAAGAGAGAGGGAGAAAGACTCGAGTCCGTGGGACCGGGTACTTGCTGCCAAAGCAGAAAGCCACAAACTGGGGCATGGCTCACAGGGACATGTCCAGAATCGCAGCTTGTGAGGACCATTCACCACCCATTACACAAACAGCTGTATCACAACTAGAGTCAGGGCCAGATGTGCTCCCCCTTTCCTGTATTCCAAGGCTGAGGACATAAGATCACAAGGTCAAGGCCAGCTTGGAGTATATGGTACATCTGAGACCAGCCAACACAACTTGACAAGATCTTGTGTCAAAATAAAAAAAAAATTAAGGGACGGGAAAGATGGCTCAGTAGTTGAGAGCATTTGCTGCTCTTGCAGAGGACCCGGGTTAGATTCCAGCGTCTAAATAGTGACTCACACCTGTATCTATATCTCCAGCTCCAGGTGATCTGATGCCCTCCTCAGACCTCCATGGACACCAGGCGTGCACATGGTGCACAGACATACACAAGGACAAAAACACTCACCTGCATAAACAAATCGGATTTTGAAGAATCTAATAAACACCCTGAAGGGCTAGAACGCATGGGGCCAAAGCTCGCTCCTCATCGCTGTGTATGTGTGTCTGTCTTTTCTTTAGACGGTGTGTGATATGGGCTTGCCATAGGGTGCACACGGAGGTCAGACGACAACTTGCTGGAGTCAGTGTGGGTCCCAGGGATCAGATATACGTCATCTGGCTTGGTGACAAGTCCCTTCACCCACTCGATAAATCATCTCATTGGCTTAAAGACCTTTCATGAAGGAGCAGTACATGCTGTCCTGGTTGCCTAGATTTTAGCAATGACTGAGCTGACCCTGACAGACAGTCTTGGGGGCTTTTAGATGGATTCCTACCATTTTCTGGTTTCCATGTGAGCACCCGGCTGCCATGGCTCCATTACCTGACAGGATGACCCTATGGTTCCCATTCTATTAATGGGACAGCTAGAGTTAAGGTAGCTGCCCAACACTGGACAGCCAGAGTCAGGAGCTGGGGCTTGAGGGGTGTTCTTAGGGCTAGAAGGGTGTTCACCCTGTTTCACGAGGCTCTCCGGAAGACTTCCATTTTGACTTGAGAATACCAGCGCACCCGACTCAGGGACAGGAGGCAGCTAGGCAACCAGGTATGGGTCGGAGGTTCTGGCATCCTATCCTGCCTCCCGGGAAGGATGCTGCGAAGCTGGTTAAGGGGTGACTCTGTAGATGAGGACCCCAGAATGTGTCCCTCCGGGAAGACAAATGGAGCCTCTGGGATACTTAGCAAAGACACGCCCCTCCTCGGCAAACGCATGCGCAGTACCCTCTGTGCTGTGCCCTTGACATTCTGTGTGGGCCCCCTTCTCCAGCTGCAGCCCATCCTCACCGCTACTCACAGTGGGGGCCTGTGCCCTGGCTGCCCTAATCTGTGGAATAAGGCTCGCACTCCTGGGCTCTTCTCTCCCAACTGCTATCTCCTTGGCCTTGCCAAATTCCACACCCTTTTTCCTTTTTGTGTATGGCATGCATGTGCAAAGATACATGTCGCCACGTGTTTGCATGTGTGCCCACAGGTGTGTGCACATGCATGCGGAGGCCAGATGAGTTCGTCAGTCACCCTGCACCTTATATACTGAGGGAGAGTCTCTCGCCGTTTCATCTAGCCTAGGTAGCCAGCTTACTCCAGGGATCCCGGCTCTGTCTCCTGTGTGCCCGAATTACAGATGGCCACCTCACGCACCCAGGTTTTACAGGGGATCTAACGATCTGAACCCTGGCCCTGACACTTGTGCAGGAATCTGTCTACACCCTGAGTCATCTCTCTGACTCTCAATATCATTTCTAGAGGAACCTCCTCCTACCGACCTCCTGATACTCACTCCATCACTCACCAACCTGGACTATCCCCATAGGGGCTGCCGGGCCACAAAGCTGAGAGGGACTCTGCCAGATTCCCTTCTCTTTTGCTAGAATGACAGAACAGAATCCAAGTGTCAGGAGCCATCTAGCAAGGACTAAGGCTAGCAGGTGGCCTTCCTGGAGGTGGCCCACTTTTTTGCATGGTCTAGTGTGGGTGAGCTCTGAGAGTCAAGGTCCCAAGAGACTTCACTCCAGGATTGCTTCTTGTTGCTGACATGCCCTTCCTGTCATTATTACATAGACTAAGGATCCTGGGCATCAGCTCACCCTGTGGAACAGACCTCCTGCAGATCAACATAAAGATCAACTTTCATGAATCAATGCTGTTTGGATGAATTCATGATTTTATACAATTCCTGATCTGATTCAAAAGAATCTTAGGAAGAAAAATTTTAAGAAGTGGTTTTAGTTGTTTTGCTAGAAAGATGTAATAAAGTTCAAATCAAGCATAGAATGTGCCCATTCCTCAGAATAGTAAGTAAAGGCTGCCTAATTAGAAATGCAATGAGCTTTCATGATTACACTAAAAAGAAAAATGGGCTTGGGACAAAACATTCAGGTCCAAGGATGAAGTCACAGGTGTGCACTAAGGCCCTAAGAAACTGTTGCTTTGAACTTCTAAGGGACTTTCAGAATGAAACACTACTTTGAACTTAATATCAACATCCTTCTGTAACTCTTCTTTGTAACATTTTATCTCTGAGGTAATTGTCTAAAGAATTTTTGTCTAAAAAGGTATAAAAAGGCTAGAGAAAAGAAATAAAGTTGTTGGTTTGGGGACTCTCCCTCATCCGTCCACCATGCAGCAAATGCATATGTCTGTTTGTCTATGTGTAGGTGAGAAGACTGGCCAAAATGTGTGTGTGTGTGTGTGTGTGTGTGTGTGTGTGTGTATTGAATGTATATGTACCTGTGTGAATGAATTTCGTTTTTTTCGTTTTTTCTCTCTCTCTCTGGTTCAGAAAGAGTTAACGAGCCTGGCTAGCTCACCAGAGAAGGGAGAGCTGGCAATAAATCCTTTACCTAATCCCCTGCTGCTATACTGCAAGAGTTAATTATCAGAAACAGGGGCATTTAGCCTTAGAATAGCAAAGAGTTTAAGAAAGGTAAATATTACCATAGCTGTCTCCCAGACCTGGAAATCCTCTAGATGCCGGAAGGTCACCAGC